AAAGAGAAACACTGGAATTGCAGAGGCAACAATTAGCAGCAAAAAAAGCATAGAGCAACTGATGGAAAAGCAAAACAAGCATAATGAGAGTTTTATGGAAATGCAGAGAGAGCAGAACTAACAAATACAACAAAATCAATTGTTTTTGGTTCAACAACAACAACAGCAACAACAACAACAAAAACACTTCAACAACAACAACAACAACAACAACACTACAACGACAACAACAACAACAACAACAACACTACAACAACTACAACAACAACAACAACAGCAACAACAACAACAGCAACAAGAGCAAGCTTTGATTTCCCTTTTGGTTTAGTTGGTTGAGAAATGAGATAATAATGTCTCTAACTGTGGACAAAATATTTCCTTTAAACAGTTATTTATTAATAGTTGATATAGTAGTGGCTTTATAATCACATGATCAACAGCTTTTAACAAATTGGCTATCATTCCTTTAGGATGAGTGACAGCTTGAAACTTTAGATTATGTACCTTTTTATGACCACTGTGCAGTAAATGCTTAATTTCATCTGGACGGAAATTAGCCTCACTGTGCCATCAATAAAACCAAAGCAATTATCTAAGGCTCCTACTTTCTGGTGAATTGCATCAGCATAAACTTTTAGGTTATTAGCACTCAGTAGATTGTAATTCCAATTTGTTATTTTGCCCCCTTGCCTTTCATAAATAAAATCTATCACAAGATCTACCAAATTGAGGTACCAAGTCACTATATATGCAAGGATAAGCAAAACGACGAAGGGCTATGCAAAGAGCCTCCAATCCATTGCAAACTGTCCCTTCCTTTACTTGAATCGGTAAAGCAAACCTAAAGCTTGAGCAATAATTAAATTCCTTGTCAATAATTAGAGATGCATCATAGGCAAAAGCGATAGCAGTTCTTGCTTTTCTAAATGACGACATTTTTAAATACACTAAAATGATGTTGCTGAAACTACACACGTCGCAGTCAAAAACTTGAGTCAAAATGCATAATTACACACCGACGCATCTCACCCCAGGACGTTCGCGCACAAAGAGCGTCGTTGAAAGATAACGTCGTAAAATCTTAAGTTCCATGTTTCTTCACGTTTGTGACGTTGCCTGTGAAAGCTTGCGCAAACGTGATATAAGGTCTGTTTAACAAAATTTAAAATATCTTATACGAAGAAGTGCCAAAACCTCAAGAATGCTGATTTAAAATTATAGCTATAATCAATAAAGGCAAAATACTCAAGACTTTTGACCTAAAACAGCGATGTAAACTTTTACTATAAGTGCAGCTCAATAATCAAAACAAATCAAAGCATTGAACGCAAAATTATAATTTGCTAACGTTTTGTACTTGTCATTATTTCATACAAAACACCTTGTTGAATCAAATTTACATCGTTCATTATCTTCAATCAAACAACACACTAATATTTAAAATATTTTAAAATAAATACTAATGATTATACAAACATAATATACTCTTGTTTATAAGGTGTTGCTCAAATTCAAAGAACACTTGAATACTTTGTGAAAACAGCTCAAATGTACTATTATTGCATAATTTCTAAAACCGTTCGCTCTTATTTCTTTTTCAATATTGTAAAATATGAAAGTTACCAAATTGAATTGAAAGGAAACTCACTTTACGCATTTTTTCTCTCCTGTCTTTACCGTTTCTAGCAGCATCAATTCTTTGCTTTGCACAGAACATCTTTCCTCCTTAAACAATTTAAGCGACTAAGACAATATGTATTCTATTAAGGCCGTTGATTTCAACTGCTTTCTAAGTCCCGAAAGGCTTTACCAAAGTAATTAAAATCTTTTCTTTAGCAAGTGAACAGCCTCGTTCTTTAAATATCAAACGAATAATAACATCATACATCTTCAATAATCTTCGTCCTAACATACAAATGCATTCACAAACTTTTTTATTTAAATAACCATTGTCGATGCAAATTTACTCAAAACTAATCACATGTACACATTTTGACTGGCATAAAACAAAAGTAAATCTTCAATAACATGTGCGATTCAATAAAAAGTTTTGGAATAGTAATATGAATGAAAGAAAAATCATTATAATTTGTGAATATTTAATCAGATCAATAGATGACTTTGCACGGCTCGGCCAATGTATATAAACAAACATTAGTCTTACTTCACTGGGTAATCTGGTCCTGTATATTTAATTAGATTACTGGCTACAGCTAGCTACCAATGAGGCTAGACAAGAGTTGTTTGCCAAAAAGTCCAGAAAACTGGAAAACATTCCACCAACCCAAGAAACGTTGCTCCAGCACACTAAGCGTGCATTGTTGCAAGGTGGATTTTTGTGGGGCCAGTGCTGCTTGAAAGAGCAGGTTATACCAACTCCGTCAGGTTGGGGCTGGTACCGTGATGAAAATTCTTGGTTACCAAAGTGGACAAATCTCCCTCAAGTTAAAGATGCCTGTTATGAACTTATTCGTTGCGGATGCAAAAGTTCATGTTCTAGTCGTTGTAAAAGCGTCAAAGCACATTTAGTTTGTACTCGTTTGTGTAATTGTGGGGGTGATTGTCAATAACATGAGGGCATTAAAATTATTTTAATATCACTGTTCTTCGTTAGGCGCTTTTCCAATGTATTTAAGAAAGAGCAATAGCACTAAACAAAAGTGCTGAGTCAGCACTTTTAAAACACTTTTAGTGTAGAATATTTCAGTATGTATTGCTCAAAAGCAAAAGTTGTAATATAGTTTTTTTATCGTCTTTAGCTGTTGTATAAGAATATACAGGGAAATTGCAGATTTCTCTGAACTTTATTTTTTATTACTACCGATGACGTCATCAAACACGACATTCGCAGAACTCGTTATAAATGTAAAATATGGGCTGGCCCTATATCAAAATTTTGTGTTACTAGGCATAGTAAGAATGTGAGAAAGTTTCATACTTGTATCATCAAAGTGAAGAATTTTGTCATTAACAGCTGGACTATCACGGCTCTTATTGGTCAGAAAAAGCAATTTACAGGCTACCACTATGCTAATCACATATTTAATAAGACATGTGCTACACAAAACGTTTCTATAGAATAGGAGTACTGTTTGTTTCCACACTGTGGCACGGCCATTATTTTCAATATTTTCTCTAATTCGCACATTATCCTGTACACAATGATTATAAAGGATGCATCATAAAACTTGGCTTCTTTCAAATCAGCCGATAATTAGAATTTGCATAAGTCAGCAGTAATTCATCCCCAAAGCGTAAACGCAATTCAACTGAGTTTCTTGGCTGCGATTTTCAATGTGCTGTAGCTGCAATATGTAAGTATTATTGTATACTTTGCGTTTACGTCTCCATGGTGATAAATTACTGTTGAATCATGCTACTTCTCGTTGTTGACTTATATGAAAGATGACCAGTTTTTGCACCCAGTATATGTTGTTGCATGGATCCGTTAGGAGTTTTTAAAATACTGAAAATTGTTATCACTTCAGCTAGGTCAGGGGAAACCCACTGTGGGGAAACCCCTGAAATCTGCGAAGAAATGTGAACAAGGACAGGGAACCTATATCACTAACGATATGTTTGATGGCCAGTAGGGATATTTTAAACACGCAACCATATTAGCCGGGGATGTCGAAGCCCCTAAAGTAATTTAAAGAGTTAAAATTTCCAGCATTTTTTATGATTTCTGTGAAAATTGCAAGACTACTGTGCAATTGTTTTATCTTCTGCAGTTTTTCTGTGCAGGGCTCCTTATAGTCTAGATGCTTCTGGATTCTAGTCTGAGCCTCTATAGGAGTTAGTATTACGCTGCCTTAATTGCCAATTTTTTAAAAAACTTGTCGTTGGTTGTATTTTCTACGATAGAGTCCAGAGTCTCTTCTCTATTATTATCATTTTTTCTAGATTTATTGACAAAGATTGTAAGAAGTAAACATTGAAACAAATAATCTTACATAAAGTACATCCCTTTCTCTAAGATATAAAATCGATGAGTTCTTTTCATAGGATTGTAGATAAGGCTGTTTTAACGCCTCGTTGGCGTTAAAAAGTCTTTCCCAAGAAATATTTTTTCTAAATTTCCTGCGTGTCATTTCCGGCAAAGATTTACATCGTCATCCGACAAGAGAAAATATTAAATTTTTTAGATCAGTTCATCGCCTCAACAAAGTTTTTTCCTTTTTATATCTGTGGCGAAAAGTATGCAAAAAATATAAGGTTAAAGACATAGAGTCAAATACAGAGGGATAAATAAGATAAACAGAACTAACCCTGGCAAATGAATAGATTATACATCATGAAATATTTCACATATATTCAACTTAACATTTAACGCGTGGCACTCTTTGGTTTTGTAATTAATACAATACAACAAAGTCTGGAAAACTTACAATATATACGACGATTTTTAAGTGTTTGAAAATTTGAGATACTTTGAAGATTTGAGAAAATTTGAGAAAATTATCATAAACAGATTATAAACATCAAAGTATGTTAAATGCGTCGTAGATTACTATTGTTTGATAATAAATGTAAAGCATTTTTATAGATCGCAGCGGAAAACAAATATATTTACTTAAAGAATGGATAAGGAATTTCAAGTATTATTTCAAACGTCATACGCACATGTAACTTATGCCTCTGGTTGTAAACAACTGAACGAGCCCTTTTATAGTGAAAAACACCGAATTTTGCCTTGGTTAGACATTCTTCTTTGACGAGTTCAATCATGTTGAGACTAGGCAACACTGTATCTACAAAACAGTACTATATGATTTAATGAGTACTATGCTTTATAAACATTTTAAATACACGATAATGTTTTTGGTGTATTTACAAAGGACCTATTTCGTAAGAGAGTCATAGTTATTCCCGCCGTTTACCCGCGCTTGGATGAATTACTTCACTTTGACATTCAGAGCAATGGCAGAAATCACATTGCGTCAACACCAATTCACTACCATCGCAATGCTTTGTTTTAATTAAACAGTCAGATTCCCTTCGTCCGTTCCAGTTCTAAGTTGGTTGTTAATTGCCTGCCGAATCAACCTGACGGTCACAGCTGAGATAATCCACGCGAAGTCCGCAGCAAACCACGCATCTCCGTCAGCCCACGCCGAGTCCTCACGCTTCAAGTCTCAGCCCGACAGACCCAACCTAAAGAGCTAATCTTTTTCCAGAACTTACGGATCTATTTTGCCAACTTTCCTTACCTACATTAATCTATCAACTAGAGGCTGCTCACCTTGAAGACCTGCTGCGGTTATTAGTACGACCAGACAAGAAAATGAACCACTCCCTCGGATTTTCAAGGGCCGTCAGAAGCGCACCGGACCCCACAAGAAGTGTGGGGCTTTAACGTTGCATCTCCGGCTACACCGATTTCAGGGTAACGTTGTCCGTTAAAAAGAACAGAGAACTCTTCCCGGGGCTCTCGCCGACGTCTCCGAGTTCGGTTGCGTTGCCGCTTGTGCCACCAGGTGGCAGTATCCCTGTTCTGGTTCGGGGATATTAACCAATCGGTTATCCCCAATTGATATGGCCACAGTCCTGCTGTCCATATCAACTAATACCTTTTGTGGGATCTGATGAGCGTCGACCTTGGCACCTTAACTCAGCGCTTGGTTCATCCCGCATCGCTAGTTCTGCTTACCAAAAATGGCCCACTAAGAGCTCGCATTCGAATGTCCAAATTTAGTTAAGCAAGTTGGACTTCTTACCAATTTAAAGTTTGAGAATAGGTTACGGTCATTTCGACCCTAAGACCTCTGATCATTCGCTTTACCTAATAAAAATGCACAAAGAGCTCCAGCTATCCTGAGGGAAAATGTCGGAGGGAACCAGCTGCTAGATGGTTCGATTAGTCTTTCGCCGCTATACCCAAATTTGACGATCGATTTGCACGTCAGAATCGCTACGAGCTTCCACCAGTGTTTCCGCTGGATTCCCCCCATTCAGGCATAGTTCACCATCTTTCGGGTCCTAACAGATACGCTCTTACTCAAACCTCTCTGAGAGTAGAATAGGTCAGTCGATGATGCAGTCTCCATGAGACTTCTCACCTCAACTGTCTAGGACAGTCTTTACTTTCATTGTGCCTACAGGTTTCGATCACCAGGAGTCTTGCGCACATGTTAAACTCCTTGGTCCGCATTTCAAGACGGATCGGATAGAGCCTTATGATCGTCACCATCCTTAACGTTTAATGTACAAATACCAACACGTGACCGACAGCAGTTTGAGTGCATAGGCGAGCCGTCCACCACAGTCCCATGTCGGACCGAGAAGTTGGTTTGCCAGCAAAGAACACGTTGCAGTGCGATGGTTGTCATCAAACTATGCGAATGCAAGGCTTAAAAACGATAAATTTGTCTACCTTGCTTGCAACCTTATCGCTCCCGTATCGCTCTCGCTCCTGTTGCACCCGTACACATCATGTCCATGTGGATCACGAGCGCGTACGTTGCTGCGTGCATGCAACTGAATCTGACAAACGAATTGCTAACTCTATTCGCTTCCCTTTCAACTGTTTCACGCACTTTTTAACTCTGTTTATAAAGTCCTTTTCATCTTTCCCTCACACTACTTGTTCGTTATCGGTCTCGTGCTCATATTTGGCTTTAGATGGAGTTTACCACCCATTTTGGGCTGCATTTCCCAAACAACCCGAATCTTCAAAAACACCAAACACAAGGAATTTGCCACGTACGGGGTTGTCACCTTCTATGACGTTCTGTTCCAAGCAACTTAGGCAGGCCCGTCGTGCCGAGAAAGTATTTCTCGAGACTACAATTCGCCATTGCAACACAATGGAGATATTCAATTTGAGCTGTTCCCTCTTCATTCGCCATTACTGGGGGAATCCATGTTAGTTTCTTTTCCTCCGCTTATTAATATGCTCAAATTCAGCGGGTAATCTTTCCTGATCTGAGGTTAAAGTGTATGCACATGCACAATTTAGCTTGTCATCACGAGCGTTGCCATTTCATGTTGCCACAACAAGGTTGCAAGTTAAGCTTTTTGCCTTGTTTGTTGCAAGAGGGCTACAAACGTGCTGTACTTAGAAGAACACGACGGCATTAGAATATTGCTATCCCCCACGACACTTTATTCAACTTCCAATAAGACATTGCATCCTGGAAATTAACTTTAATAACCAACACTCAGACAGGCATGCTTCCGGTATAACCAAGAGTGCAATTTGCGTTTAAAGATTCAATGATTCACTATATTTTGCAATTCATATGCACGAGCCAAGAGATCTACCGTTAAAAGTTGTAAACATAATTTGCTTCTATATTTTGTGATCACACAACTGTCAAACATCAAGTTGAATAAAAAATACGCGAGAGGCCAGGAAATGGCAAAGGGAGGCTTATTTGAGTTTGCATAACACATTCTGCTTCCACATTGTTGCTTCCATCAGCCCATTTAAGGACGTAGAAATGTCCACCTCCCATTTAGTTATAAGATTCACAGAGTTTTTCGATTGTGAAGGTAGATTTTAGCAATCTAACACAAGCGAAATGTTATTATATGGTGATGATCCTTCGGCAGGTTCACCTACGGAAACCTTGTTACAACTTTTACTTCCTCTAAATGATCAAGTTTGACCAGCTTCTTGACGTCCGTCGGATGAAACGAAACTCATCTGACAGTGCCAATCTGGAGGCCTCAATACACCATTCAATCAGTAGTAGCGACGGGCGGTGTGTACAAAAGGCAGTGTGATGAACAGTTGTTTTTATTTTGTTTTGTTGTGACGTAGCGCGTGCATTTCACGTGATTGACACTTTGGGATTATCACATAAGGGGGGAGTTGTTGTTGAAAATAAAGAATTCGAGTTGTTGTTGTTGTTGAATTATGTAGTGTTTTTCTTTTGACGACTTCGTTGTAAAAAATAACGATTTTATCATGCAACGTGCATGACATGGCGCCCAACGTGGGGCGGCTTTAACGAAATAAAGTCGCCCATATTCGTTTCTTACGAAAATGTCGACTGAAGACAAGGAAAAATTGGAAAGGCTTCGTGCTAGAAGAAGAGGACATCGCGGAGTGTGTACAAAACTCGAGAAAGAGTCAGTTGAATTGTTATCACAGCCACCACATGATGACCTTGTAGAACGTAGCGAAATCATCGCACAACAACTCGAAAGGAAACTAAAAATATTAAGTGAACTCGACGAAGAAATATTGAACACGTGTGATGTTAATGAAATACAAGGTGAAATCGAGGACTCGGCCGAAATTTCTGATAGAGTTATGAGTATAAAACGAAAAATCGAAAGGTATATTAAATGCGCTAAGAATGACAGTCTCGTTGATACGAATGTCAACGATACCATATCGAACTCGAATTTGACGAACATGTCAAACCCTGGCCAAAACGAAAGTATCGAGAATTCTAACGAAAATTTGGCAAATGCGACGGAAAACTATGGTTTAATCGAAGGTTCAAGTAATCAAGCGACGATCGAAATTGTAAACGAAGGAAATGTAACGAGTGACAACACTACGACGACGGTTCAATTTAAGTCAAATATGCCGAAACTTCCTAAGCTGGAGCTTCCGAAATATGGTGGCAAGGTTACGGAGTGGAGTTCGTTTTGGGATCTGTACGATTCTGCGATTCACAGTAATCCAAACATTTCGAAGGTAAACAAATTCAACTATCTGAAATCGCTTCTCGAGGGAAACGCAGCGAGGGCCATTAAAGGTCTAACATTAACTAATGCCAATTACGACTCAGCTGTAAAAATCTTGAACGATCGCTTCGGGAAAACCCAGCAAACCATAGCAGCTCACATGGATGAAATTTTAAAGATTCAAGCTTGTGCCAACGATAGAACTAGCCAAGTAAGATACATATACGATAAAGTAAGCGTTCACGTACGAGGATTATCGAGTCTTGGCGTTTCTTCTGAACAATATGGTAGTATGCTTATCCCGATTATTATGACTAAATTACCTAGTGACATTCGTCTACAAATTGCCCGAAAATCGTCGGGAGACGTTTGGAAAATTGATGAGTTGTTGGATACAATAAAGACTGAGATCGAGGCACGGGAGATAAGTGAAGGAGTGCAATCAAGTCCACAGCCACAGCATGGAAAAAATTCTGGAGGTCAGCACCAAACACCCAGAATACCTACGGTGAACGCCTTTTCGACTCAAAATACTTCAGGTAAACATATTCAATGTGTTTATTGTAAAGAGCCACACTTTTCGGCATCGTGTGATAGAGTAACTGATGTGAATGATCGCAAGAGTATATTGAGGAGAGACAATCGTTGTTTTGTATGCCTGCGAATCGGGCATCTCAGTAAAAATTGCGAGTCAAAGAAGAATTGTAGACGTTGTCATGGGGCTCATCATCAATCGATTTGTGAAGTGATTAAGCCAAGTTTTACGCCTCCTCAACAAAAGAATGCAAATGATCCCAAACTTTCCCCCACTGGAAACAACCTACCAGAAACCAAGGAAGGAAACAACGTTCGCACAGCTACTATGATTGATGGAGATAATTACTTAACGACGAATACGGCAAAAACGCGTAATCAAGTTCTTCTGCAAACAGCTATTACATACGCCAATGGTGGGAATGGTTCCATTCCTATACCTGTTCGCGTGCTTTTGGACAGCGGTAGTCAGCGCACTTATGTTACAAATTCATTAAAACCCGGCTTGGACTAGTTCCCATCAGAAAAGAAGTTGTTAACTTAAATACCTTTGGCAACCAACATTTCACAAAGCAAAATGCGACTTGGTTCATTTGTCCCTGAAAGGAAAGAATGGAAATCGAATCATAACAGCTCTTTGCTTCCCAAATATTTGCTCTCCATTAACAACGACAATTGATCTCAATCATTATCCTCATCTGATGGAGTTGCAGCTTTCCGATACCAATATCCTCTCTGGACGACAGACGGACAGCAACATCGACATTCTAATTGGAGCAGATTATTATTTTGATATCATGACAGGCGAGATTATAAGAGGTGAAGGTGGTCCTGTTGCGATTAATAGTGAATTTGGCTGGATTATCACTGGACAGATGAATGATGGTGAAACTAATTCGAAATTGTCAAACGTTAATTTAATCATCGAAGATTACTCTTTTTCAAAGGAATTTCCGCTTGACAAGAGAACCCAAATTACATGAATGCTTGAAACGGTTTTGGGAGATCGAATCAATGGGAATCAAAGAATCCAACGAATCACAGGATCAGGAGTTTCTGAAGAATATACAATATCTTGAGGATGAAGGGAGATATGAAGTGAACTTACCTTGGAAAGGGGAATATATTCCAAAATCAGACTGTTACGGTATGTGTTTGAAACGATTACACCAGTTGAAATCTCGTCTCGATAAAGATAAACCCTTATTGCAAGAATACGATACAATTATCAAAGATCAAGTGAAAGGAGGAATTATTGACCCAGTTCTTGTTGCTCATGAAACCGGTTATTTCCTACCCCATCATGGCGTACTTCGAGAAGATAAGGAAACTACAAAACTTCGCGTGGTTTTCGATGGTTCGGCAAGAGCTACTAAGGAAGAGCAGTCACTCAATGATTGCCTCGAAAAGGGACCAAATTTGGTTCCACTTTTATTTGACACTATGATAAACTTTCGAGGCTTCCCCATTGGGCTTGTTGCTGATATCGAAAAGGCTTTTCATCAAATACAAATTGCTCCCGAAGACAGAAAGATGCTGAAGTTTCTTTGGTTTGACGATATTAACAAAGCTCAACCGATGCTAAAGGAATACAAGTTCCGACGCCTACCATTTGGTCTAACCCCAAGTCCTGCAATATTATCTACGGTTATTCGTCACCACGTTTCGAAATACAAGAATGTCGATCCAGAAATAGTCTCCTTATTAATCGAGTCGTTATATGTTGACGATTTCGCTGGAGGAGCTTCTAATGAGGACGAAGCTCTATACATCTATCATAGATCTCGAAAATTAATGAGCGAGGGAGGATTCAAGCTTCGAAAATGGCATTCAAACTCGCAACATGTCCGAAATGTTATCGCGAATGATGAAGATCGACCGTTTGTTGAGGTGGAAAATGAAAAGTGTTCATCATATGTTAAACATATATCAAGTACGATGGTGGAAGACAAGTTAGTAAAAACCCCTTCGCCTCATACAGAGCCACAACCTAAGTCCATATCTCAAGAGAACCGTATCAAAATTCTAGGAATCAGCTGGGATGAGAACAGTGACGAGCTGTGTTATGATCTTGACGAGCTAGTGCATTATGCAAAATCACTTCCTGCAACTAAGAGGTCAGTTTTAAAGCTATCTGCGAAAATATTCGATCCTATTGGCCTTCTTGCACCCTTTACTATCAATATGAAGATGTTGTTTCAAACCCTCTGCTCTTCTGGCAGTAATTGGGATGAAGATCTGTCTGGCAAGGCCTTATCACGTTGGAATTCTCTCGTTCACGACTTAAGGGCTTTAAGTGACATACGAGTACCGCGTTGTTACTTCCATGGTGGATACGATTCATCTCCGATTCATCAGATACATGGATTTTGCGATGCATCAGAATTTGCCTTTGCCGCAGTTGTATATCTACGAACGGAACATAAAAACGGTGAAATTGAAGTGAATTTAATAGCAGCCAAGACAAGAGTCGCTCCTATCAAACGACAGACCATACCACGACTTGAATTGTTAGGCGCAACTACCTTAGCAAGATTAGTCGATTCGATTGTGAAAGCGTTGACTTCAATAAAATGTATCACTGATATTATCTTATGGACGGATTCATTTACCACATTGTGTTGGATTCGAAATCATAAACTGTGGAAGTCTTATGTACAGAACCGCGTAAACGAAATCAGAAAGTTAACTAGTAGTTATAAATGGAGACATTGCCCTGGGGTAATAAACTCAGCCGACTTGCCTTCTCGTGGGTGTTCCGGAAGTGAACTTGTGCAATCTGGAATCTGGTGGAATGGTCCGCAGTTTCTCCAAGATACTGAAGAAAATTGGCCCGAAGATCTTCAACCTGCAAAATTGGATGAGGACCATTGCTACACAGAGATAATACAAAATCCTCTTCCAATAACACATTCCTTGACGTTAACATCGCTTCCTGACCGTAATTGCATCCACTTGGAGAAGATTATTGACCAAGATAGATATGGTACGAAGAACAAACTACTTCGTGTCACAGCACAAATTTTAAGGTTTATCAAGAAATCAAGAAAGCAACTATGCTCTGTTACGTCTGAGTTGAATGCTAATGAGCTACTCGAAGCTGAGAGATTATGGATCCGAAGTATTCAGTCAGCCGCGTTTTCTGACGAGTTACAATGTATTCGAACCGGTCGTAAAAATGTACGAGTTCAACAACTTGGTTTGTTTTTCGATGATGATCAGATTATTCGGTGTGAAGGTCGAATTGCCCACTCTACGTTACCTGATAGTGCAAAACAGCCCATTTTGTTGCCCCCTAAGCATACCTTTTCGAAATTAATTATACGCGACTGTCACAATATAGTACACCACGAAGGAATTAGAGAAACTCTGAATTGCGTTCGAGGAAAATACTGGATCTTGCGTGGTCGAGAGTGCGTCAAGGGTGTTGTGCGTGGATGTATCAAATGCAAGAAATTCGAAGGTAAAGCTTTCCCAGCAGCGAAGGAAGCATGTTTGCCATCAAGTCGAGTAAGCGAAGAGCCTCCTTTTCAAACACCGGTATTGACTTTGCAGGCCCCTTATACGCTAACAATCAAGGAATGGATAAGGTATATATCTGTTTGTTCACTTGTGCCTCCACTCGAGCGGTTCATCTTGAACTTGTTTGTTATTTGTCTGTGCTATCGTTTCTGCAAGCTTTCCGAAGGTTTGTCTCACGAAGAGGTTTGCCGTCTAGACTAATATCAGACAATGCCAAGACCTTCAAAAGTGCCTCAAGGGAAGTTGCTAATATACTGAGATCAACTGACATACAACGCGAACTGGCTTCCAAGGGTGTCAATTGGGAATTTATCATTGAAAAGGCACCTTGGCAAGGAGGATTCTACGAACGAATGATACAAAGTACAAAGAGATGTTTAAAGAAAACTCTCGGTCGATCCTCAATGGATTTTGAAGCGCTTAGAACCATTTTGGTAGAAATTGAGGCTACCATTAACAATCGTCCACTTACATATATCTATGATGACCAAGAAGGAATTTCTTACCCTCTGACTCCATCTCAATTAATTTACGGACGGCAACTTACTCTTACGGCTAGCGATCGACAATTTGAAATCATCAGTACGAATCGAACTCTAACCAGAAAGGCGAAATATCAGAAACGTTTGTTAGATCAATTTATTAATCGTTGGAGAACGGAATATCTTTTAAGCGTCAGAGAGACTTCCCGCTTACTTCATGGAGCACAGAAGGAGAAGATAGCTGTCGGTGATGTTGTTGTGTTAAAAAATGATCTTTCCCCTCGAATTTTGTGGAAATTGGCAAGAGTTACCGAGCTCATAGTAAGTAAGGATGGTGTTGTTCGAGCAGCAAAGGTCTGTGTTGCGAGTACTACGAAGGCTCGATCGTCAGAACTACGTCGTCCAATACAGCAACTGATACCACTTGAGTTGAATATGCCTCCAGCAAATACCGTGGTTCCCAAAACCGTTAGTGGAATTGAGTCTAAAGACGAAAACTCTATGAAAACCCGAAAACGAAGAACGGCAGCCGTGATTGGCGACCTATTGCGACAGTCAAATAGTAAAAACTCGTGAAAATAAATTGATCAATATGATCAACGTCGGGAGTGTGATGAACAGTTGTTTTTATTTTGTTTTGTTGTGACGTAGCGCGTGCATTTCACGTGATTGACACTTTGGGATTATCACATAAGGGGGGAGTTGTTGTTGAAAATAAAGAATTCGAGTTGTTGTTGTTGTTGAATTATGTAGTGTTTTTCTTTTGACGACTTCGTTGTAAAAAATAACGATTTTATCATGCAACGTGCATGACAGGCAGGGACGTAATCAACGCGAGCTGATGACTCGAACTTACTAGGAATTCCTCGTTCAAAATCAAGAATTACAATGATCTATCCCCAGCACGATGATGATTCAAAAGATTACCCCCACCTTTCGGTGAAGGAGCAACTCGTTGCCATCGTCAGTGTAGCGCGCGTGCGGCCCAGGACATCTAAGGGCATCACAGACCTGTTATTGCCTTCCTGACTTTGATTAAACACGCAACAGTCCCTCTAAGAAGTCGAGAGCGATTCGTGAATCGTCTGACCATTTAGCAGATCAAGGTTTCGTTCGTTGACGGAATTAACCAGACAAATTACTCCACCAACTAAGAACGGCCATGCACCACCACCCATAGAATCAAGAAAGAGCTCTCAATCTGTCAATCCTTACTATGTCTGGACCTGGTGAGTTTCCCCGTGTTGAGGCAAATTAAGCCGCAAGCTCCACTCCTAGTGGTGCCCTTCCGTCAATTGCTTTAAGTTCAGCTTTACAACCATACTTCCCCCAGAACCCAAAAATTTTGGTTTCCCATAAGGTGCCAACGAGGTCATCAAATAACACTCGCTGATCCTTAGTCGGCATTGTTTATGGTTAGAACTAGGATGGTATATGATCGTCTTCGATCCTCTAACTTTCGTTCTTGATTAATGAAAACATTCTTGGCAAATGCTTTCGCATTAGTTCGTCTTTCGTAAATCCAAGAATTTCACCTCTGACAACGAAATACGAATGTCCCCATACTGTCCCTATTTATCATTCCTTCGGTTCCAGAAACTAACGAAAAATTGAACCAAAGTCCTATTCCATTATTCCATGCTTATGTATTCAAGCAAAAGCCTGCTTTGAACACTCGAATTTTTTCAAAGCAAACGACGCGTATCCAACAGACACTCAGTTAAGAGCACGCGAAGTATGCGCGAAGAAGGCCAACGCCGACAGTAGGATACCTTGCGGCAGACCGTCGTTGTCGAGCCCGAAATCCAACTACGAGCTTTTTAACTGCAACAACTTTACAACACGCTATTGGAGCTGGAATTACAACGGCTGCTGGCACCAGACTTGCCCTCCAATTTGTCCTCGTTAAGAGATTTAAATTGTACTCATTCCAATTACAAGACTACAAAAAATCCCTGTATTGTTATTGTTTGTCGCTGCCTTCCCACGTCAGGATTGGGTAATTTGCGCGCCTGCTGCCTTCCTTGGATGCGGTAGCCGGTTCTCCGGTTCCCTTTCCGGAATTGAACCCCAATTCCCCGTCACCCGTTGCAACCATGGTAAGCCACTACCTTACCATCAACAGTTGATAGGGCAGAAATTTGAATGAAACATTTCCAGCACAAAGTTAAAAGGCCATGAGATTCGAATAGTTACCATGAATCATCAATGGGTTAAGCGGCCGTGAAGCCGCATTGGTTTTTAATCTAACAAATACATCCCTTCCGCAAAAGTCGGGACTTTTCGCATGTATTAGCTCTAGAATTACTATGGTTATCCAAGTAGTAAGTGGTGCAATCAAATAAATGATAACTGATTTAATGAGCAATTCGCAGTTTCACAGTACAAGTGCTTATACTTAGACATGCATGGCTTAATCTTTGAGGCAAGCATATGATACTGGCAGGATCAACCAGTTAACTTCCATTGCCGAGATAAACTTAGGAACAGCACATGTGCTAGAACCTGTTTTGGTTTATGTTTCTCTCGCATGGAGTTGCTCTACAAAATAAAGAGCAAGTATCCATCTTTTTGCCACGATTTTAAAGTCTCTCATGGCAACTGATGTAAGCATTGACAAGGAAGACATACCATAATGGTTCAATGTGCAGTATGTTAACAACAAATGCAAGTTTGTGAAGGCAGCATGTAGAATTGCCTCCTTTCATATGCTACATTGGTTTAGTACATATTAGTGTCCATTGGGAAGAATGTACAACACTCACAAACCAAGTGAATCACCTCATCTGCGATAAAATTTTTTCACAATTTTGCACGAAAGCAATGAAAGAGCAAGACGAAATTTACGATAAACTGACTGCTGATTCATCACGTCGCGCAAAGTTCGTTTCTCATTTGTACTTATTTGTGAAGCACACTCACCTCACGTTATATACCAAATAACCAATTCCCTTTTCCTAACACTTGGAGGGATAGACACAGAAAGGTCACCGTGACACATTTTTTCTCTCTTACATAGGTTTTCTGATGGTCACCGCGACTCATTTTTCCCCTTTCAGAGGGCCTCTAGATAGTCACTGTGACTTATTCTTCCCCTCTCAGAGAGGCATTCTGATGGTCACTGTGACTCATTTTTCCCCTTTCAGAGAGGCCTCTAGATGGTCACTGTGACTTATTCTTCTCCTCTCAGAGAGGCCTTCTGATGGTCACTGTGACTCATTTTTTCCCTTTCAGAGAGGCCTCTAGATGGTCACTGTGACTTATTCTTCTCCTCTCAGAGAGGCCTTCTGATGGTCACTGTGACTCATTTTTCCCCTTGCAGAGAGGCCTTCTGATGGTCACTGTGACTCAATTTTCTCCTCTTAAAGAGGTGCCTTTGTAGTTAACCATGACATATAGTTTTTTCCTAACATAAAAAAACTAAAATTATAAATTTTAAACATAATATCAGTTGATCAGCTAAGGATTTTAGCTGGTTGCATAAATTTTCAGAATGCAGCAATAGCACTCAAACGTCATTCTTATGAGGTGCTATCACAGTTTAACACAACGCTGATGTGCATATCATCTCACTGTGCATGTGCAGTTTGAGCACTCTTGCTATGTGTACAGGCTCTCATAACGAGGCGTTTACCATTTTTGCATTATGGAAAAGCTTGTCCTTTTAGGTTTGAGCACTCTGCCTACTGTACAATAAAGTCCATACAATGTATAACCGTACATCCTGTGTTTCAATTCAGGAGTCACAATTGCACTACGAGGATAGCAACGAAGTACATTGTTATACACTTTTTATTTAGTTTTACACATGTCATACATATAATAATGTGATTTATTTTGAAGATTTTATCATGGTCAAACATGTGTCCTTGTTACAAAGGCCGTGTATTTAAACATTTTAATGATAGATAATTTTCAACTTAGCTATAAGACACCTTCAGTGTGATTGAATACGATATTTATGTCACACAATGAGATTCTGTGAAATATATAAGATACAAATTGATACAGTTGAGGTGTTACAGGGACCACAGAGAGGTTTGAAAAGTGGGGGAGGGGGCAAAAGAAGGTGGCAGAATCGGATTGTTGTTGCAAGTATAATAAATTTGTTTTTGACAGTTTTATCGATAATCATTCAATATACAAAAATTGTTTGATTTCGTGTGTTCAAACTGAGTGCCCTGGCACGGTGTTCAGGCACAGGCAGCAATGTGAACACAAAGTTTTGATGGTGCTTGTGTATAAGTGCCCGGGTCTGGGCACCACGAAAAAGGTATTACCCAAGTACGGTGCTCAGGCACGGGCACCAACGTGAACACAAAATTTTGATGGTGCTTGTGTCTAAGTGCCCGGGTCTGGGCACCACGAAAAAGGTATTACCCAAGTACGGTGCTCAGGCACGGGCACCAACGTGAACACAAAATTTTGATGGTGCTTGTGTATAAGTGCCCGGGTCTGGGCACCACGAAAAAGGTATTACCGAAGTACGGTACTCAGGCACGGGCACCAGTGTGAACACAAAATTTTGATGGTGGCCACTTATAAATGCCCAGGTCTGGACAGCACAAAAAGATGTTTTACCCAAATACGGTGCTCGGCACGGGCACCGATGTAAACGACGACACCTGAGTAATTGGTAGAGAAAGGCATTCATTCAGCACATGGTTTTAAAACTTGTTTACAATGAAAAACATGAAATTATAAACAGACGAAATTAGTCGGTACTACGTAGTGTGAACAACCTGCAGATTTTTTCCAGAACCAGGGTATCGTACTCCGGCAATCAGTCTGAACGTGCTATAATTGATCAATCTAACGTCAATTAAAAAATGAAGGTGGAACATAAGTGAGACATGAGATACTGTTAAACATCCATACTTATCAAATGTAAGTATTTTCCTGGAGCTGATTTTTATACTTTTACACTTTACAAAGCAAGAGATATTGAAAAAAGTGTGTGTATGGGGGGGCGGGGGGAGGTCGCAATTGCTCCCCTTCTCCGCGGCCCCTGCTGATACTCACACTCAATAGATAATTTACAAATTATTAGTGATTAGGGACAAGATTAAGGATGTGCCTAGCACAAGTGCGTAGTTAGGGAAAGGGAGAAAATTAAAGTTGGAAAATACTATTAAAATGTTGGACTTGTTTGTTCAGGTCTGGTTTGTGTTGTCGTATGTGTAGGGTTTGTTTGAGTTTGAAAGTGAATGAAGTGTTAGCAGTGTTAGAGAAGCGTGATGAAGTGTATTTATATTTGCTTTCAGATTTTGTTATTTGTCAACGTGGAGTTTTTTTCGGAGGTGGTGTGTTCTTTGATCCATGTGGCAAAATTTCTGTGGGTTTCATGTATGTAACAGCTGTATCATATTTCTATCTTAAATCTGCGACTAAGATGGCTTGTAGTGAAGTCGAAACATGTCTGTCATGAAAATTACAAAAATGAACAATATTGTCGTTTATTTGTTTACAAAATATTACTAAAAATGAACATCACGGTAATCAATATATGCAAATATATGAGATTAAAGAGGTTTGAGATAGAGACGAAAACACTTGTATAAAAAGATATTAATTTAGGCAAAAACGTTTCAACTTTTTGGCTCTCCATTAGACGCAACATACAGTGGTGCTGGCAGGATTTTTTGGGGGGGGGAGGAGAGTAACACCTCCAAAATGTCACATACAATGTATAACGCAATGTTTTATTCAACTGAAATTTTCAATTAACGTTTACAGAAACCTCAGTATGTGAAATATATTATTGGCAGTCGTCCTCCTTGTCGGAGCCTCTGACAACATATTAGAATTAAAAATCACATAAAAAAAGAAAAAGCTCTCATCTAGGAAAGCATTTATAGAGTACTTAAAACATGCATATTGAATATTATCAAACGTAAAAAACGTTTTAGTGAAAATAACAACTAATTTGGGACATTGTATAGTTTCATGGAATCCTAATTTGGCTACCTTCGTTTAACATAAAAAAATGTTGGTATGACTAAGCTGTAAAATGTTTGTGAAGATCGGGTCTTGTCTTCAAGTCAGTCGACCTTATGATTTTGTGCACCAGAAGAGGCAGTTCAGGAAAACGTTGCAAGAAATATTCTACATAATTGCCTTCCTTGAATAAACGCAACAGATGTTTACGAGGTACAACGTGCCAATGGTCATTCACCTTTCTTATAAATCTTAAACACCTTGCCAATGTATCCTGGTAAGTCAGAGTTTTCTCTTTGCCTTTCATTTTAAAGGTGCTGAAAGTTTTCAAGACATCATCATCGATACGCGTCATCCATTCCATGGGATCATACAATTGCGCAACAACATCTGAATTTGGAGAACTTTCACCTAGTGATTGTTTCATTTCCGGTTGGTTTCCCATAGCACATAGCAAGCTAAATTTCTTTTCAAGGGATAGTAGATAAGGGTGTTTTAACGCCTTTTTGGCAGATGGCCTGTCTTCTGGTGAATGTTGTAGCATCCATGAAAGAAGATCTTTAAGTTCAACATCATAGATTTCCATCAATCCAACAGGGTTTCCATCTAACAAGTTTTTCAGTCTATCTTCTCGACGTCCAAAAGGATGTTTCCCTTTTGTTGCAACATAATAAGCCACCATTCCAGCATTCTAAAATATATAAAAACATAACAGTGTCAACAAAAGATTTCTAAAAAATTTGGAGGTAATTTGCAAAGGGTTATATTTTTACACCCACCATTACATCAGACTCTGGTTTGTATCGTGCTTTATCAAATGCCTCTTCATCAACAACGTACGACTCAGGAGCAATCCAATACAGAGTTCCCTTAGTAGCATCGCTTAAATGTGTCTTACGGCCTTTTTCCAATATTAGACTAATACCAATGTCAGCTATCAGATATTGTCCTTGCGCATCTCGAAGAACATTAGATGGTTTTAAATCACGATGAAGAATAGGATTTGGCTCGCTATGAAGATCAGCTAATCCTTTTAAAATTTGCTTGAGAATTTTAGGAAGAGATTTTTTAAGATCTTTCAAAGTAGAAGATTTTACAAAACTCTCCAGCGATTCTTCACATAGGTCAAGTATCAAATAGACATATTCAGTTCCGGTATCTTCTTCAAAGTGGTAATAATTCACAACATATCTCGACCTCTTAGCTTTGATTTCATTTAAAATTTTCATTTCTTTCACTGCTTCTTTGGTACAGTTATCTCGATGTACTCGTTTCACTGCTTTTCCATAACCATCCTTTTTCAGTCCAAGATAAACACGGGTTTCATTATTTCCTTTGCCAATGCAAAACTCGTCCGAGAAAATTACACGTACGCCGTTCACACATATAACATTTTTATCTGGGTGGCGTCCATACTTAATTAATTTCAAGAACATCTCTTTGTGCTTTATTGATTGATCAAAATACTTCCATTCTTCCAACTGCAATTCTAAAAATTATATAAAAGTATTACATTTAGGGATAAGGGATAAAAATAATCAAACATGTGGAAGTGAGCTGAAAGTAATTTATTGCACACAAGATTCGAATACGTGCGAATAACATAATAGTATAGGCTCGGCTTTTTGGTATATTATACGCAGTGCGTATCTAGTTTTATTATTTTTCAACGTTGTCGTCATTGATTTCTATTAAACTAATGGATATAAAAGTAGAATGCAGACTTAGGTTTGTCAGTTGAAATAAAGCAAGCAATGTGTATAGAAACTAAGCTATGTAGAAAAAAACTAGGACGCAGACTTTGGATTGTCGGTTGAAATAAAGCAAGAAATGTGTATAGAAACTGAGCTATATGATTTGATTTACAGCATTTGAAATTTAAGCCGCAAAGAAAGTTGCACTAGAGGGACGCGAGCATTGTGGATGGATATTAAGAGTGCTCAATCAAAAATGGAAAATCTCAACGTTATTACTGTATTTAAGCAGGCGAAAGAGTTAAGAAAGTTTGTTTCCTGATATTTGTAGTCATTATCATTAATGTTTAACAACGTAAAAGGCATTCATTTGATGACGCATGTTAGTAAAAAGAATGACTCCCAACACCCCCATCCTAGACGACCCTATAAAAAGAATTTCTGTGTCAGTTACATACCTGTTTCTTGTCTTTCGACGTCGTTGTTCTTGCTTTCTTTTTCTTCTAAAATATTAAAAAATCACAATTTTTTTACTATTGCAAACAATTATCTAAAACGAACGCCCTGGATTCAATATAGTAAACCCAGTTTTGATCTAGATAAAAACAAACTGTTTCAACGACCACAAAAACTGCAAACATTTATATTTCCTTAAATTATCATACAAAACATAAAATGTGATCTTTTATCTTCTCTGCCTGAAAAATTATTACCAATGACAGCAACTACCAGGCTGTGTAAACTGCAATACAGTAGTTTACACTTTTCATTAAAGAACTTGAACTTAAGCTATAAAATTTTCATTTACACAGTGAAAGAAAAACCCAAGAAAAATTCCAGCGTATTAAAACACGTTTGAAAAAAATTTGTGCCTTCTTTAAAGACTTAAAATGTCATTTTTCGTTGCAACGTGTTTCACGATCCACTGTGATCGATCATCAGGTGATTAAACAGTTAATATAATTAACAAAGAGATGAAATTTAGCCGTTGTCTGTTCAGTTATAGACACACGGGTATGACGTCATTTGTGAAAAGCACTAAAAAATTCTCACATTTAACTGGTAAATAGGAAGAAAAGTTGTTTTTGTTTTTTCACTACTTGGAAATTTGAAAAAGTCATGATTGAAGAACATTTAGCAATTTCTTCTGTTCATATTGAATCTTTAGTGATTCTTATTGAATTTCTTTCACCGTTTATTCTTAATTCATCAATCCATCCAATTTAATTCTTGCAAATGTTATCGTACATATTTAATACTTATATGAATGTTAAATAAAGCTATGATATCTGTTTCCTCCAATGGATTTTCAATAAATGGAATACATAAAAAGGTGTTGCTATAAAATAAGTTCATTGGTAAAGTTGAATGTAAGTTGGCGCTATTTAACATTTAGAACGTGTTATTGACATTAACATCATTCTTATAACTTTTGTTTTCCCTTTAATGAGCAATAAATGCTCAAATTTAAGTTTCCTTTTTTCTTCTGATCTCAGGAAAATTCAAACGATTCCGTCTAGTTTTCATTCCGAATGTTGTTTACCGATTTCACACAGTTGTTATATTTTGTCTTCAATGTAAAAGGCTGACAGAAAAAAGAACGTAAATAAACGATCTGAGCTTTTTTCAAGATGCCTTCATTGATTTAATATCCGCTTAGTAATTATCTAAAAAACAACCATTCGTACGTAAACTTACAATTATCTTTATTTTGTATCACCTGATGATCGATGCAAATGATCATAAACAGAACATGGAATATACAGAAGGCTCACTTGTGTCTGAGGCTTTGATGTTTTGTCCTCGCCTATGTTGTGCCGTGCATATCGGCAGCCATTATTCCAGCAAGATATTCAGAGCTTTTCACTTGTTTCGAACCACTAAAATGATATGACGTCATTTCTTATATTGAAATATTGTCGATTTCATTATGAAGAAATGACGTCATGTAATTGAAGTCGTTGGAAACAAATGAAAAATCTTAAGTGTCTTGCTGGAATGATGGCGGACGTGAGGACGCAGCGCACACTTGAGTTAGCCTTCTGTATGATTTTTATTCTGTTATATTGTGGTGAATATTACATTTTAGGAAATGATAAGTTTCTTAATAAGCGCTAATAACGGTTTTTGCTTTAGTATTAAGCACTTTTCTCTGCAGATAAAATAATACAAATTACAGTCGAATTACGATTCAAGAGAAAATATTGATGTGTACTCATATTTATGTCGATGACGATAGTATTCATTTATATCGCTTGAGTATTTCACTTTGATCTTGTCGGATGAAAATAAAGCAAGTTCTATTTCTATCGATTTTTTAGATAGACGGATCAGACTATCAGAAACTCACTTTTTATATATGTTAAGACGATCCGTTTTTTAGGATCCGAAAAAAGTCGGATGGTGTGAACGGACCTTCAGTAGTTAGTTGCCCCGTCATTGACGTATTAAATATTCATTGTTAAAAATGCAGCATAAATCTTTTTATCATACATTTAACAAAGTGCGTACAGGATTTTGTAAATTACAATGTATAATTCAATTAAACATAAAAATTATAGCTTAACTTAGCGATAACTTAATTGGCCACGATGTAGTCTATAATCGCTCATCTTTTATTGTAGCTACTTTTTTGAGTTTTTTTCTTTTTTACATAAAGATATTGAGGATTTATTAGCAAATATTAGAAGAAATTAACATTTCAATGTGAAATCTTACATAAAGTATTACAGTTGTTATAAAGTAAAAAATGTGATATAAATAGAGTGTTTTTACAAACACTGCTCTACAAAAACAGGAGGAGGGAGATTACACTAAAAGACGATTGATTACCAACATGAAAAATGGTTTAGTAGTTTCAAGTGGTTTTAACACAACATAAAGTAACGTGAGGACGTACGAGCTGAGCCACAAATGATAACAGGAACTGGACTTGAGGATAAGAATCCATAAATAAAAATGCCTTTAAGATCAGTCAATGTTTCAAGTTTTCCTGAATGATCACAACTATGAATACAGTTATTATCAAGACACTCTTCAATTATGAGAAATTTGTTCAGACCAAAGTGATAGAAAAAATCGTTAATAAACAATGTATCCAAATTCACTTTCGACTTTAAACAACCCTCCATTGAATAGATGTACAGAGAACCATAGTCAGCTAAAATGATTTCGTTCTCATTGGTAACAGCTATCCGTTGCACAGGATATTCTATTAGCTCAACTGTAAACTGCTTTATCAATTTTCCTTGCAAGTCATAAACAAACACACATTTATTATATTTATCGTAAAGCACGATGTTTTCTGCTGACACAAATAAAAACAAGAACATAAAGTTTTCGTCAGTAAAATCCAAGGATATTTCACTTTTAACAAGAAAATGAGGATCCAACACCACTAGATGAAAGTTAGAGGACGTTACTCGATAGACAAGGATGTACATGTCATCATTTTTATCTATAAAGCTTCCCATTATCAAGTCAGATTCAGGAAATTCATAGACGATTTCATCATCAGCATCTTTTCTCATAATCTTGATTAACTTGCTCTTTAGATCGCAATAAATTAAATCATTGCTACTGTTGCAATGAACATGTCGTCTATAGATATCCCTTTCCAATTCCAATTCATTTGGACCTTGGACTTCACTGTCCCAAGAATTTCTCTGCGAGATTTCACGCCAACCCAATATTGGATTAAATTGTTTGTTTTTTAGTTGAATGGTCGGCCAATCTAAAGCCATATGATAGGTTTTCCCAAACTTCATAATAAACTGATAGAATAAGCGGTTAATAAACATCACTGATCGTACATTTTCTACACGATCGTTTTTATTAAATAATGACTTTGGACCACCATTGATGTAAACATTAAATATCTCACGAATAGCAGGTAATGAATGAAGTTTATCCAAAAATGAGAAACAAAATGTAATGGCCATTTGTGGACGTTCCATGCATTCCAAAATGGTTGAAACAACTCGAATTTTGGCAGCAAAGATTCTATCTTCAATTGACAAACTTTCGTTATTGAATGCACGGGTTGCTTCTTTGCTAGCGTCTCGAAATCTTACGACAGCGGTTTTTAATTCAACAGGACTTTCAATGCTCAATGTCTTAAAAGCTTCATCAAGTTCGTGCTCTTGATCAAAGTCTTTAGATATTTCACTGCTTTGGTTGCTTGAAATCAACGACGCGTCAATTTGACTTCCTTGAGTTAAATTTCTCAATCTTTTCTGTTCTCCCTCTTTTAGATGTGCAGAGTTCTCGATACAATCAAGTAAAAGGCGAATTCCTTCGTCTAAGAAATCATAACTGCTGAGAAGATCTTTTCGTGACAGTCCGTCTAGTTTAGTTTTAATATCATTCAATTCTCTCACAACAAATTCTCGAAGCTTCGCATCCGTAACATCACCGTCTTTACGATTTTCTGCTGTTTTATCTCGTACTTTGTTACATATTAAACCAACAGTCGATTTTAATATGGTAGAGATAAACGAAGACATATTTATTAAAAGTTAATGTGATCTGATCTACAATATCCTGTAGATAGGTTTGTTTATATATCAGATGAGTTTCTCACACGTCATATGATTTCGCAGTTGGTTGGTTTTATGTTATGTTGTTTTCCACATAAACAATGTTTCAAGTATGCAATACACGTGAACAGCATGTGAAACACCATTGACAATACACAAAATTTACCACACTTTTAACCGAAACGCCTTAAAAAGGCTTGGCTAAAAAGTTAAGTGGATGGACTAACACCATTTATAATATTTTATACATTTAATGCCATGAACGTAAAACTTAAAAAACGATAGACATAAAATTTTCTTTTTTGTTACAGTACTTACTCACTCAATCACTGACTCATCATTTATATTGACAAAGCTGATTATTTTTTCTTCATACAAAATTCAACATTAAAGCACTAGTTTGTTTTATGTTATGGGTTTCTCCACATAAACAATGATTCAAATATGCAATAAACGTGAACAGCATGTGAAACACAATATTGACGCTGCTAAAAACTCGCCGCTCTTCCGAACCTTAGACAAAATGTTACTGAGTGATTATAAAACCATAATAATAATACGCATTATACGCATTGCTCACACTTTGTATTTAAATACATAAATTAATCGCAATCAGCATTGAACTTCGGCAATAAGGTCCTATTTCAAATTTACAATGTATTGAAAAAAATAACATCAAAAACACTACAAAATGTGTCTGTCCAAGCCAAATAATTGTACAATACTGTTTTGTTAACATTACTCGCTCATGCGGAAGTAAATGTGCTTTTGATTATCGGTTGGAAAAACGAAACGTTTGAAAGACAAATTGTTGACGTTGTAGTATTTATCTCATAAATTAATTTTTATTAAAAATGGCACGATTGATAGCTTCAAGCCTAAGAATTATGAAAAAAATATTTTTTGGGATTCAGATTGACTGTCTTTTAAGCTGTCCTGTCACATAAGCTGTCCTATCAAGATGAACTTGGCTATGAACTAAAGTCAATATGTTGTATTTCTGTAGCATTAGCTGTTTGTTATTTTTTGCCATTGTTGTTGTTGACAATTTTAATAAAGTAAGAATATGTTTTCTCTTTAACATTAAAGATATTGATAAAACTTGTTTACTTCGATGTTTTTGAAAGTTTGATGCTCATGACATTAAACATATATAGCATTATCTAAACTGTTTACATTTCATTAAATTTTATTGCCCATATGTGCGCTCTTCGTGCGTATTTTTTCTACATACTATTTTACATTTGACTGTCAAATCGGATATAAAGCACTAGTAGTATTTTGCTGATTAGAGACTAGCAGTACTTAAAGTTACAACAATATTGTACAGGGTGTCCCCGAAAAAAATGGAACCCGCATAAGTTAGTTCACTGAATCCTCTGAAATTATTAAGCACAGTAATATCTCTAGCATTCAAATGTCAAAACATTGCATGAACGCAAACACAAAACATGATGAATTCACATCAAATCTTTTTGCTTCAAGCTAACAGTGGGAAAAGTATGTAATAAAGTCCCAGCTTTAGTTGGATGAAATTGAATTATTGTTAAATTTTCCACAATCGTTCAAGTCAACAGCTCTCATGCTTCATCTAATTTCAAACATATAAAAGTTTTCAAAGGTCGATTTTTACATTTCATGAAGTCATTATCCTCCTTTTCATCACCATCATCATCATCTTCTATTTCACATAAAACATATGCAAAGGGCTGCCAATTTTCTTGTTTATCCAAAAAATAGACAAGTCTATCAGAATCACTATTTTTTAGAAATTGAGAGTCACTTTTCATCTTGACTGCATTTTGAAAAATGACTTCTCTCTCCGTTTCTTCCTTGTCTACATTCGTGTATTTTGTCAAATGCGAAAAACACCGTTCAATTATAAAGCCCATACTGTGATTATTTATACGAACTTTCACAGTTTCTTCCCTGATTTCAATTCTTTTGTAAAGCTCTCCATTCGCTCGATTTAAATTAAAGGCAAAACTCTTCTCCCCAAAATCATTTACGTATTTTCTTACATCAGGTAAATTTGATAAATATCGAATCTTTGGATTTTTGTAAGGTTTACGCCTGATTTCGATGAATTTCGATGCTTCCCATTCAAATGTCTGGTCGATTTGATTCTTTAAATCTTCATCTGACCTTTCTTCATAACCATCAACTGTGATATATAAATGAGGATAGGATATAACTTTGTTTTTTATAACTGTTCCATAGTTGCCACATATCCACGATAAACTTTAAAATAGAATATGACATAATATAAAGCTTCTATAAACAGTGCAACTATAAGTATCTATACAGCTTTTTTACCCATTAATACACCCATTTTTCCTATTTTACAGCTAACAAATACGATGAAAAAAAGAATTTTGTTTTGCCTATTCCTAAACATACCTTTTAAACTTTTCATGTACGTCTTTTTTAATGTTGTAACGTTCATCAAGAAATTGACTTTTGAAATTAAATTCTATGAAGAAATGTTGAATAATTGTTGAGCATTAACGATTTTTTAAAATGAGGGAAGGCAACTAAAATTTTAGCAGTCGTTAAAATTCAGACTGGCCTCACTATCAGTTTCCTCAGTATCTAGACTAGTGTTACTATTGGTTACCTCAAAATCTAGGCTAGACTCAGTAGGAGTTACCTCAATATCTAGGCTAGCCTTACTATTAGTTACATCAGTAACCATGCATGCCTCGTCGTTGTTTATCTCAGTATATAGTAATTTCAATTTGAAAGTAATTTTGCTCTGTAACAGAGTGTACACAAAGTAAGAAATGAGAACGACTTGGGTATTGTGAAAATATTTATCAAAGAATGTAGAATTGTAATTGTATCACTTATATAGGATGCAAAAAAAAGACAACCGCTTTAAAACCCATACGACATCAAAAATCAAAACAAATGATCTTAAATAATTATTTTCTACAAGATATGCAGCTTTAACACGCGGACTAAAAGTTGGTAAAACGTCTGTGTCACAGTCTACAGTATAAACCACGTCATATCTACGTCTATGCTTACAATTCCATATAACGTCACAAACTCCTACCCAGGCTTTTTTGAAGAACTTACCTTGCTCATACAATGAATCATTCCGATTTATCAATCTTGTAGCTTTCGTACGGAGTGACGTAGTTTGCTGGTCCTTTACCAGTACTCCATCGACTATTTCCTCTTCGAAAATATCTGCATCTTGTCCTATGTCCATATCTTCAAGACGTCCACCATCAGAGATCTTCTCTTTACCTGTTGATTGCTCATTTTCAAAAGAAAACACTTCCTTATCACTTGATGATATGACAGGATTACGCGTTTTGCCTATGACAGAAATTGAATTAAAAAACTGTTTCTTTCTATGTCATTCTCTACATCTATGTTCATGTACATATCACGTGCTAACCTCGTACCCAGACTTTTTCTTAAGCTCTTACCTTGCTCAGTCAGCTTTAATCGAGGTCTCCAACCTTTGATGAACCCCATCAGCTTCAAACGTTGATTGGGAGACATATTAAATGACTTCAAATCGGAGTCTGTGAGTTTCATTAGCATTATTCCATCGATTAATTCCATTTCGAAAATATTTGCATATTGTCCCATTTTCAAACCTCGTAAAATATCCGCTACGGCAACGACACTAAGAGCTGATAGATCCTGTGGTACGTTACCAATGAATTTGTAAGAACGTTCTGCAATGGGACGATTGGGAACAACGAGTGGTAGCATGGGGACGTTATGCGGATCTTCCTCAGACTTTATAAGAGCTTTGTCACGGGAAGACGAGTCAGATGAGTCTACCTCATTTTTATCATTCAAACGTTTCATCGTTGATGCTGAAGATTTCTCAGAATGCTTAGGTGCATCGAGATGGGTGTCTTTGTCAAAGTTTTTACTGGCTGATGTGTCTTTTTTTGCGTTTTCAGGCGACGACTTTGAGATATCCATAAAAGGATCAGTGCCAGAATTATGCTGGAAAGCAAAAAAAGAAGAGGATATGGGGTGGACAGTAGTAGATGGAAGGATATTAGAAACGTTTTCATAGATTGAGTCTTTGGATTTTTCCTTCGTAGCTGCGAGTTTGTGGTTTCCAATTTTGCTTCGTTTTGGTTTCTCCATCAATGTGTTTTCATGATAGATTCCATCGACTGAAGAACCTGCTAGAACTGACTTTTTAAAAATATTCATGTCAGTCGATGGCTGTAAGTAAAAGCTTTTTTTCTTTCGTCCTGATATGTCTTTGAGTTTACGTTGAAACCCATCAACTTCATCAAACACTTCTTCATTGCCAGAGTTCGGTGTTGATATAGCTTCATCGATGTCAGAATTCTCCTCAATATTTTCATCGTTTCTTGTAGCAAGATTTGATGGGAAACTTGAATAAAAAGAAGGATCATTTTCCGAAGATACAAATTTATCCATGGTTGTATCTTTTTCTTTAAGAATTTCATCTTCATAGATCTCTTCTTCATTTGATGATTCAACACTTTCGACTGAAAATGTTTTTTTATCACTTGATGGTATGACAGGATTGAACGTTTCGTCTATAACAAAATTAGAAATATGAAACTGTTTTAAAATTTTCACTATGTCAAAAAAATTAAATCATTTAAAATTTTCAATTGAAAACTTTATGTTTTCCATGTCCCATTTGCAAGCAGATAGTTGACAAAAACGATCTGCTTCCATCTTTTTTCCGATCCAGGCTTTTCTAATCTCTTACCTTGCTCATTAAATAAATCATTTTGATTGAAGAAAACGGGTCTCCAACCATTTACAAATTTCATCAATTTGGTGCGATGTAAGGCAGTCATATTAAAAGACTCCAAATCGGAATCCGTGAGTTCATTCAGCAATCTTCCATCGATTAATTCATCTTCGAAAATATTTGCATATTGTCCCATATTCAAATTTCGTAAAATATCCGCTACTTCATTGACGCTGATGTCCGACAGATCGAGTGGAACGTTACAAATTAATTTGTAAGGATAGTCAGCGTCTGCCAATATGGACAACAAAGAACTGGATGTCTGATAAACGGAGTCAGATGAGGGTATCTTGTTTTCAAAATTCGAACTTCTCATTATAAATGCTGGCGATTTCTCATAAAGGTCAGTTGTATCATAATTCTCTTTTGTCGCTTGAAACAGATTTTCCACTCGTTGTGGAGGAAAGGTTGGCCCATCAACCATATCTAGCCCTTCTTTGTCCTCAGGTTTTGACAAAAATATTGATTTATCGATGATGTATTCCTTGATAACGTCATAATCGAATTTATGGATTTGATCTTGACGTCTGATAAGCAATGTTTTGTAGGTGTTCATAAATTTCACAACATCAAAACGATCATTTAGTCCATTTACAATGTCTGTATAATGCTTTGCGCCATTATCAAAGCCATCAGCAACAACAAACTTAATGTCTAAATCTTTTGGTATTTCAAAACAAAATTTCAGGTGCTGATCACTGCTTACTGTCGTGGCTATAACAGTGTCACAAGGGCTTGGTTTCAATAAGCTATATGTAAACAAAAATAGTTTTCGAATATAAACAGCAAATAAGGTGTAATGACTTCATACCTTGCTTTGCCTGAGCTACGCTGAAGTACAAAATAGGGAAATAAAAAACTAATCTTGGTGATGTATAAAGTACACCGTGCCTGCGTTTTCAATTCATAAAGGACAAACCTTTTTATCTCTGTGTCTTCAGCTTGGAATATGCTTGAATCTCTGATAGCATGGAGAGTAAGGACTTGTCCATAACGAATGCTAGCGCTGTGTTCACCACCATCATAACCACGGATAACTTTCACAACTTGTGGAAGTGAAAAAACGTCAACAAAATCTTTTAAGGAGTATGAATCCTCTGTCCATTGTAACGTATTTAGTATTTCATTATCAACTTTTGACGTCGTTTCCATTTTAGGGTATTCTATCTGCCCCTGTTTAAAGAATTCCTCGACTGTTACTTTGATTAAAATTCATCAATGTCAGTTTTTTTCACTGGTCTGGACTCAATTTTACTCCTCGCTTTCGTAAAAATGATGACACTGAAAAATGCCAGTTAGATTACTTCCAATGCAAGGCAATAATAGGGGATATGAAATGCTTCAAAGCTCTGAAATAGGATTTGCTAAACCGGTTTACTAAACTCAGTTTGTCAAACTCTTTGTTTTATAAAATTACAATTACCATGGCAATAGTCAATAGTTCAGTTCTTGCGCAATATGAGATTTGCTTATGCTGAGAAATGAATTTTTGAGTTTGTGGGTGGAAAAGCAGAAGTTGAATTATTGAAGTTAACAATTATACATTTGTTAAAGGAAATGAACCCTGGGAAAACTAAACAATTTCAGAAGTTAGTTAGTGAAGTAATTAGCTATATTATTATTGGCATATCGGCATCGGTATAGAAGTAGAACAGAACAATTTTTCTCATTTGTGTAAAGACGTATAACTATAAAGTATTTGGGAATAGAATCATTAAATGTGAAATACCTATAACTAACTAAAATAACAAAATATATTTACCCGAGATTTCACAAGTGGACGAGTCAAAGTATACGTTAAAGGCTTGCCAAAGGTTTTGCACTTCCAACGTCACGGAATAACTAACTTTAAAAGGTAAACGATTCATCTAGAGCTATGTCTTACAATATAATCATTGATCCAAATCAAAACATATAAAAATTTCATGGGTTGAGGAATGTAGATATTATAATGACTTATTACGCTTCTCTATTCTTTGACTTGACTGAGATTTTAAACACATAAAATATATTTTGTGTTTAAAATTTTAAGGGTAAAAAGTGTCGTCCCTTTTCGACCAAATCAATCGAAAGGACGAAAGTTTTTTGTCATAAAGAAGATAGACATTCTTAACCAATTCAGGTTCATCGTCTTGCGTGGACAAATCTTATCACCGGAAGTCTAGAAGTTTTATCGGTGAATAATGATTAAGTTTGTAGATTGCTTAATACGCTTTAAAAGTTCTTAAACTTTTGGAAAGAGAGACAATATTGCATAGGTATTACACAGTACAATAAAAACCTTTCAGGTATAGTTTATTTGCCGATTTCTCTACGTTCACAAAGATTTTTTGTTACTCGTGATGAAAAATGACAACGTCTTTGACATCTTATTTTTACATTACAAAAATGAGAAGAGTTTAAAAAACCCCCCACACACACAAAGAGTCTTTGTCGATGCGTCTTACGAATGACACGTGCGCAAGGCATGTTTACCAGTTTGAGGTGGCTTTTGGGTGTATTCTTTGTGTGACTGTTTATAGTTTAAAACGAGTGATGTTTTGAAAATTTGAGCTTAATTCACACGACATGAACTAACCTGGCTGGTTCGGCCTTAGTTTATATCAACTCACGTTAATTTGTTTTGCGTGTAATACTAACAAAGGTTTTACCTCAGCTTTATTAAACATACCTCCAAAATGTGTTGAGTTAAACAGGATGCTTCTGACCAGGTTAGTAGTGTTCACACGCAAAAAACTAACAAGGGTAATTTGAGCATGGTTCAAACTACCCAGTTTTGTTTGTGCCGTGTGCTTTGGAATGTGGTTGACAAGATTTCCTGCTGTCAGCAGTAATTAATATTAAAAAATAATGACGTAACGTATTAAAAAATAATGACCTAATGTGTGATTGTTTTACAACTTTTAAATTGAATTTATTTGGTAATGACAGAAGGTTTGTGCCTTCTACAGAGGCGAAGAGGTAGAACGCTAAATAGAAGGATGAAGATGGTATATATTTACATAGTCAAGTATGCAAGACTGATTTGTTTAAAAGTGATTGTAATTTCCAGAGAAGTCAGTCTACATATAATTATTTACTACCCCAACTACAGCACATATAACTAACGTTTTAGCTTCGCCCCTGCCTTTCTATATCGAATTCAGAAATCTTGAAAATCATCATTTTAAGCCATTTTCTTTTGAGAAAAAGCAATAGTAAAAGCTCAAAGCAACCTAGCAATTTTCTATACACAAAAATTTGCTGATATTTTTTATTTAAATTGTACGAATGAAAATTGAAAACATAAAAATTGTTATGTCTCGTCAATTTTTTACTTTAAGTCAATATTGGTAAAACATTGTGCTCTCGCCAGTTTAGTTAGATCAAATGGAATGGCAAATGAAAAAAGGTTGTGATCCTTGAACTGTACATCTAACTGGATGGATATCTCAAGGTAAATATGTTTATACTTCCATAAAGCCAAATATTATATCCAGACAAGTTTTTAACAAAATGCCGTAATCAACTTTTTTTGGCTGTGCATGGAAATGTTGGGACTACTGACTAGTTAAATATCTACCTTCAAATTTTGATGGGAGGTATCCGTCCAGTTGTATTTAGTTCAAAGGTTATTTATTTAGTTCAAAGGTAATAAGAGCTATTGAAACAGTCGACTGAGTATTCAGCACAAAGCATAGTTTTGCAAACTCGAACACATTATACAATTAGATGTTTTGAACTTAATTATATAATATCAAGTTAACTTTAATAATTCAACAACTTCATTCTTTGGCTATATAATTGCCGAGTCACTCAAATATACGCGGCTTATACCTTTTTTACTTATATTTGCCAGGTTACTCGAATATACACGATGCATACCTATTTTACGTATATTTGCCAGGTCACTCAAATGTACCCGATGCGTACTTATTTTACTTATATTTGCCAGGTCACTCAAATGTACCCAATGCGTACCTATTTTACGTATATTTGCAAGGTTACTCAAATTTACTTGGTGCGTACCTATTTTACGTATATTTGGTGGGTTACCCTAATGTTCGCGTTGCGTACCTATTTTACGCCAAAGGTAAACGCCGAAATTCGATAAATTTCGATGCTTCCAATTCAAAAATTTCATCAATTTCTTTCTTCAAATCTTCATCTGGCCTTCCTTCATCACCATCAACTGTGATACACAAGTGAGGATATGGTGTCACGCGATATTTACCAACTGTTCCGTTATCGTCACATATCCACGACAAACTTTTTAAATGAAATCAGAAATAAGATGAAGATAATCAGTTTAAAACGGTACTTTCATATTTCCTTATTCATGTATGAGAAACACTCTAGTGCATTTTATTAATAAAATACATTTAGTTCATTTTACATTTAAAGAAAACTTTCAAGAGTCACAAAATTGAACCTTTGAAAAGAGCGCGTTAAGACTTTAAAAATCTGTTATTTTCAAAGTAAAGAGAAAACGGGATTATTTAAATTCTAAAACCAAACATTTGAGTTAAAATATCACAATTAACATTCGAAAACTATCATTTGAGAAAAGCATATCGTAAAAACGGAATAAAATAATTCCATTTTTAAATACTGCTTGCTTATTTCATAAAGTCTTTAAAGATTATCAAAATGTGTGTTCACATCAAATTAATGATGGTGTTTGAAAAAAAATCGTACATTGATTTATATTACTTTCTAATGATACAGTTAGAGATGTTTTGCAAAACGCCGTCTACCTTTGTCCTGCTTCGAAACTCTCGATCCTTATTGCTTTAGAAAAGCCTCGTTGCGCAGCCCAAGTTTTGTAAACATTACATGAACTTGTGGTTGTGTATATATTTTGTATATCTTGAATTTCACACAACTGCGGAATCTTTGTTTACAATTCCGCCATGTTTTTTACTGAATTGAAAGAAACTTGGATTCACCGCTTTTTGGCCAATCAGGTTACAGTATTTACAGTGCACTTACACATAAACTGCACGGGAATTAACAAATCACAGTCGAGAAATATCTCACAATATATTGGCTTTAACTTATGAAATAAGCAAGCAGTATTTAAAAATGGAAATATTTCATTCCGTTTTTACGATATGCTTTCCTCAAATGATAGTTTTCGAATGTTAATTGCGATAAAAATACTGACAGAATCGGTTAACAACCTAGATAATGATAACGACATCATTTGAGTGAACATCAATCTATTCTCGGTAATACCTTTTAAATTTTTCTTCTATTTCTTTTCGAATGTTGTAATCTTCGTCAAGAAATTTGTTTTTTAATTCAGCTTCTATAAAGAAATAATAAATATTTGTTACATTCATTTAGTTACGAAATTCTATCAAAATGATCAAAGCCAGTCTGATTATTAGCAAGCCTTAAAACTCAGGCTAGCCTCGCCTCTGGACACCTCAGTATTTAGGAATTTCAATTTTCATTTTGAAAGTGATTATAGGACATACATAGAAAACAAAAAACTGCTTTGACATCTACACGACGTCAAAAAATCAAACAAAATAACAATTTTTTATAGAAAAACATGTACGTCTAAAAGCTGGCATTTGGTAAAACCTCTACGTCATGGTCTACGTCATCATCGATGTTATGATTTACGTTATAGTCTACGACTCGTTCAGACGTAATATCACATCCCACCTTGTATACAGGCTTTTGAAGCTCTTACCTCGCTCATACAATGAAGTACTTCGAATGACTAACACAGGACTCCAAGCTTTAATGAATTTCATCAGCTTGCTACGGTGAAACGCTGTCATATTAAACGACTCTAAGTCTGACTCCGTAAGTTTCATCAGCAATCTACCATCGATTAATTCCTTTGCGAAAATATCTGCATATTCTCCCATATTCAAATTTCGTAAAATATCCGCTACAGCAATGACGTCAATGTCAGATAATTCAAATGGTACGTTACTAATTGACTTTTGAGGACTTTCTTCAATGAGACGATTGGGAGTAACGCGTAACACAATGGGGCTGACAGGCGGGTCCTTCTTAGAGATGTCGGTGTCAAACGATGGCTGTAAGTCAAAGCTTTTGGTAGTTTTATGAAATGTGTTTTTCAGTTTTCGTTGAAACCCATCAACTTCATCAAACACTTCTTCATTGTCAGACTTCGGTGATGATATGGATTCATTGATGACAGATTTCTCCTCAATATTTTCATCGCTTCTGATGGCAGGATTTGTTGGGAAAGTTGCTGAATAGGAAGGATCTTTCCCACACGATTCAAATTCATCCATGGTTGTATCCTTTTCTTCAGAACGTTTATTATCAGAGATCTCCTTTTCATTCGATGATTTAACATTTTCAAAAGAAAGCACTTCCTTATTATTTGATGGTGTGACAGGAGTGTACGTTTTGTCTAAGACAAAAATTAGAAATACGACTCTGTTTAAAATTTTTTATCATGTCAAAACAAATCAAGCCATATAATAAATTTTGATGTATACGTCATGTTCACGAGCAGATACTTTACTTAACAACTTATTTTTAGATAGTCTACATATCGGTCAGGCATTATTATACTACGTAGGAAACTCGTACCTAGGTTTTTTCCGAATGCTCTTACCTCTCACACGCGACACTAATTCAGGTCTCCAACCTTTGATAAAGTTCATTAGCTTTGTGCAGTGTAACGAAGACATATTAAACGACTTCAAATCAGCATCCGTGAGTTCATTCAGCAATCTTCCATCGATTAATTCATCTTCAAAAATATTTGCATATCGTCCCATATTCAAATTCCGTAAAATATCCGCTACCTCACCGACGCTGAGGCCAGACAGATCAAGTGGAATGTTACAAATTAATTCGTATGGATGGCCTGAATTCGGACGATTGTGAGCAACACTTGTGAAGTTGATTGTAGATAGCAAAGATCTTGGTCTCTGATAAATGGGCTCAGATGAAAGTGCCTGAATTTCAGCATTAATTCTCATCTTCAACTCAGGCGATTTCTCAGGAAGTTCAGGGGCTTCGTTATCGTTGCCTTTGTCGACGTTTTTGGTGACTAATGCATTTTCTTCAGTATTTTTGAGAGATGATTCAGAGTCTTCCGCGGAAAAGGCAGCATTACGATCAATCTGGAAGTTGGAGAGATTCTCATAGAAAATTTCGGAGCTTTTTGCTGGATTTTTACAATTGTTGTTAACCATAGGAGAGCTAGTGTGGTACACAGTAGTTGATGGATGGAAATTAGACAGATTTTCATAGAAAACTTCGGCTTCTTCTGTTGTATCTTTGAAATGTTGGCTAATCCTTGGAGGTTTTATGTGGTGCACAGTAGTCGATGGAATAATATTAGAGAGGTCTTCATAGATATCTTCGGCTTCTTTTTCTGTATTTTTATAATCTCTTTTAATCACAGGAGAAGATTTGGGGAACACAGCAGTTGATGGATTGAAATGAGACAGGTCTTCATAGATAACCTCATCTTCTTTTGCCACATTTTTATTATCCTCGTTAATCGTCGGAGACGCAGTGTGGTACACAGTAGTTGCTGGAAGAGTGTTAGAGGGGTCTTCATGGATAGATTCTTTGGAGTTATCTTTCCCAGTTACACCATTTACAAGTTGGGGGTTCATATCATTACTAGGTTCTAATATATCTTCTGATGTCTTTTGACGGTAGTTACCATCAATTTGAGATCCCGCTACGGACTTGATATTATTTTTTCGGCCAAGTACTGACTTCTCAGAGATGTCCATGGCGTAAATCGTTGGCGTTAAGTCAAAGCTTTTCACCTTTTGTCGAAATGATTGTTTCACTCTTCGTAACCCTGGCCCATCAACCTCATCCAAACCTTCGTCACCTTCGTCTGGCTTTGGTGTTGAAATCGATTCATCGATAACAGGTTTTTCCTCAATATTTTCATCTTTTATTATGGCAGAATGGAATGGGAAGCTTGAACAAGATGGATCTACTTCACACGATACATATTTATCCATGGTTTTATCCTTTTTTTCAGGACGTCTATCAAAAGTCATCTCTTTTGCATCTGACGATTCAACGTGCTCAAAAGAAAACACTTCCGTATAATTTGATGACATAACAGGATTGTGCATTTCGCCTATGACAGAAATTGGAATTTGGAAATAGGAAACTACATAACAAATTTGTCTATGTCAAACCAAACCAAATAACAATTTTGGCAAAAAGCCTACGTTGCCATGAAGACCTGTTGGCAAGCTTACAATTGACGAATAACCTGCTTCCTTCTACGTCATAGACAACATATACGTTCACGTGCATATCACGTAGTAACCTCATACCCAGACTTTTTCTCCAATCTACTTACCTCGAACACGTGACTTCAGTTTAGGTCTCCAACCTTTGATGAAACTCATCAGCTTACTTTGATGAAACGCAGACATGTTAAACGACTTCAAATCGGAGTCGGTGATTTCCATCAACATTCTTCCATCGATTTGTTTTTCTTCAAAAATCTCTGCATATTGTCCCATGTTCAAATTTCGTAAAAGATCCGCAAGGGCAATAACGCTGAGCACAGACGGATCTTGTGGGATGTAAAAAAATTTGTTACTTTTTGAGTTCCCTTTGCTTGTTGATCCACGATTAATCAGAGATTCTCCACCACTTAAAAGTGAGCCAGGAGATTTCTTAGAAAACTCATTTTGTATATGATTCCCTTTTTTCGCTTCAAGCGGATTTTCCACTCGTTGTGGAGGCAAAGTAGGCATATCAACCACATCCAGCTCCTCTTCATCGTCACATTTTGATAATAATATCGATTTATCGATAATGTATTCCTTGATTGCATCGTAATCGAATTTCTGAATGTGATCCTGGCGCCTGATAAGCAGTGATTCGTAGGCGTTCATAAATTTCACAACATCAAAACGATCATTTAGTTTATTTACAATGTTTGTGTAATGCTTTGCGCCATTATCAAAGCCATCAGCAACAACAATCTCGATGTCTATGTCCTTTGGTATTGCAAGACAAAATTTTAACAGCACGTCACTGTTCACAGTAGTGGCAATAACAGTGAGATAAGGACTTCGTTTCAATGAGCTATATGTAAAAGAAGACAAATAAATCCTGGCATGAGCAGATCAACAAAGTTATTCATGGTGGTCCCGAAGAAAATAGGACTGCATAAATAATCATGTATGCATTAAAATGAAATCTTCATTAAAAATAGCTATATTTGTTCCTCCAGATTAATTTAGTAACACGCTCGTTTGTCCATGTTGGTTATATCTTATAGAAAAGAGGATAACGTTTTTGTGGCTGTTACAACTCAATTAACGTCGCTTTGATTTCACAAATTTTTTGCTTAGTCAGTGTGTGACGGATTGAAAGTACTTTTAACATGTTTTGCTTTAACAAATAACGAACAAACCATGAAATTCCAGAGGTGCAGAACTGTCAAGTTCAATAAACTGCTTGAGAATGCTAATTACATAACTGTGAATAATAATTTCAGCGAATACATAATTAATTTATATGGGGTTCGTCTTTTTTGGGGAACGCACCTTGTAAATCTTTCTACCGTAATTCAAAACAACATAAATGACATGTTTAAAGTTTCAAATTCAAAACAGAAAATAGTATGTAATGAGCTATTATATTACAGTGAGCGACAGATATAAAATTTAACTAGTCACAATAAAAGCAAATTTATCTTAGTGATACATTGAATGCTTAGCGTCCGCGCATTTTATTTTTGTCAATTATTTCTTAATATATATTTATGTATGATTATTTTTTGCCTGTCACAACAATAGTAACTAAACCTTCTCAGTAATAGAAAAGAGTTTAAGCTTATAAACTCCAATTTAATATAGGAACATAGTTAAAGATTTTTTGAGTGTGACGATGCAGTCAGACACATTGATAAAACGTTTAACATAGTATGTTTATCTTTTCAAACACGGCCGCCATAAAAACAAACCTGGAGGGGGAAGACTGGAATTTATAGAATTTACTGAACTCGCTTTGCTCCAACCTACGCTAAAGTACAAAGGATGGAATCTAAAACTAATCTTTGCGAAAGCAGCGCTATGTTTACGTTTTCAATTCATTAAAGACAAACCTTTCTATTTCGTTATCTTCATCTTGGAGTAACCTTGACTCTCTGATAGCGTGGAGCGTAAGAACAACTCCATGACCAATGGTAGCGCTGTGTTCACCACCATCATAACCACGGATAACTTTCACGACTTGTGGAAGTGAAAAAACGTTAACAAAATTTTGTAAGGAGTATGAATCTTCAGTCCATTGTAAAGTATTTAGCATTTCGTCTTCCATTTTTGATGACGTTTCTATTTTGATGTATTCTATCTACCGTTGTTTAAAGAATTCTTCTACCGTGGCTTTCACTAAGATTATCGATGTCAGTTTCCTTCTCTGCTTAGGACTCGATTCAAATCATCGCTTTCATAAAAGTGATGACACTAAAAAATAATAGTTACTTTACTTCCTACGCAACATGGAATGCTACAGAGCGCTGAAAGAAAATATAAACTCTCTGCTGAACAGGTTGTTCAAAAATTTCATATTTTGTAAAATCTCACTTACAAATACAAAAAAAGTGAACTTTTTTGAGAAGAAACAAAATTTTAGAAGAACAGAACAATTTTGCTCGTTTGAGTGAAAGCGTTTAAAGCATTTGGGAATTTAATCATGCATAGACATCTTGCATGTTAAATAAATATAAATCTTTGAATCGTCAATAAAATATATTTGCCTGATATTTCACCAATTAATGACAGCGTCAAAGTTTGTTAAGCCATTTGCCAAAGTTTCTCTACCAAGGTTTTGCTCGCAGGATAACTAACTTTACAAGGAAATCCATTCATTTAAAGTCGCGTACAGGATCTTGGTCATCGATCCAAATCAAAACAGCGAATGCCAAATATGAATAATTATAAGCGTTTCCATGGTGATAGGAATGTTACATTATAATGACTTAATTTGATTTTCCGATCACTAAATTGAAACTTCAGGTCTTCAAGAATGAAAGAAAAGGCTATTTTATGGTTAATATTCCTTGTCTTATAAAATGGAATTCTTGGCATAGTCCCAGTATTGAAAAATTTATGCTCATCGAGTTGCTTTAATTTTCACAATACAGGAAAACATTTCACGTTAAAGTTTCTTTCTGATTACTCTCCATTCACAAAGATTTTTTGTCACAGAAGACATTTGTAGATGGAATAGTAATGAGTGCTCACAGCTATAAAGAGCAATCATCGAATTTGAAAGCTTTTGCTTTAATTTTTTCGTTCATTCCACGACAAATTGTCACATTTATATAATTAACGTTGTCCTTCTCGGCCGCCGTAAATTTTTGGTTTTTTATACTCATCGCACAGATGTGAAATCTTGGCATAGTCCCAGTATTAAAAAATTTATGTTTATTGCTCTAAACATTTTTGCACTACACGAAAACCTTCCAAATTTGATTATTTTCCTTTTATAGAAATTTCTTGTCAATTCCGATAAAACATTATAAATAAACCAGAATTGAACCCTAATACAATGGAGTTCAACCCAAAAGCATAGAGGCAAAAGTTGCAAAAGTTGCGGGTAGAGAAATTGCGGAAAAGGAACAGTCGGCAGTGGCCACTGATATATATAAAGACTGGATAACACAATCTAATTCTGGTGCCGAGAAAATTTTGAAGCCAACTTTTGAGAACGGCGGCCATATTGAACTATTCACTTCTAGTATATATTTTATAATGAATTTTTATCATATTTTATATTTTTGTTATTTTCTCTTTTAGAAATCATAATAAAAGATTTGGCTTGATATCTGAAAGAGAAAATATTAAAAAATAAGAAATATGATAAAAATTCATTATAAAATATATACTAGAAATGGATAGTTCAATATGGCCGCCACTCGACTTCAAGTCAAGCACTAAGTGTGTTATCCAGTTTTATACATATCAGTGGCAATGACGTACCAGCCCGCAAATTTGGTCCTGCTATATTAATTTTTCTGTGTTCGTTCAATGCAGAAAAGAATAATGCTAATGATTTAAAATTTACATATAGATGGACCAAAATTTGCGGGGTTGGCTACGCCACTGACAATCAAACAGGAACAACTAAAACATTCAGAAAATAAAAACCAATGATCAAAGCCAATAGCTAAGTTGAGACAGTTATGCTTTTAAACGTAAAGTGTTACATTTGAGTTACAGTTGACCAAAATTATACAGGATGGAGGTCTAAGAAGTGAACGCATGTCTTTGACAAGAACATTCATGGCAAAGCGTGTCGGAGATATTATTTTATAAAAATAAATTAGAAATTAGTACTCGTGAACAGCACACGTGAACAGTACAATTACTACAATACACGCGATATACAAATGTGAGAGCTTTGCAGAGTTACCAGGTGGTCTGGGCACGAAATAACCCAGAAAAAGGAGATAAAAAGTAGCCAATTTGGCCATAAAGAAGACAAACTCGAAATTTGGTTTAGAGACAAGATGAAGCATTTTTTGGGACAGATCTCATTTTATTTTGTATTTTCATTGGAAATATTTAATAATTGAATTATTTTGCTTGAAATCTAATAACAATATGGTGGCTGCAGGTTTCGAACAAAACTTCCGGAAAAAGTCTTCCACAAACCGCAATATAATACATTATAATGTGAAATTCGATGTCCCAATGTTGAAGTATAACGCAGTGTACTCTTTTAAAAGACTGGACGGATCACTTTAATACAAAGCAATATAATAAAATGAAGCCAATATGGCGGCGAAGTTATCGTTCCGGTTGTTTAAAGAGTTCACTGGTATAACGTCAAATTTGAGTCAGAATATTTCCCGTGTTCTCCTCCCCAGTCTTTGTTCGTCATATTTAACAATGAATGAAAAATTTTGTCTGTGAATTTATTTTATCAACAATTTATGTGTTTCACTGAAATAGAAGCAAAAATGACCCAAAAAATAGAAAGGTTGCAAACGAGATTTTTTGTTGCCAAGCTAATATAAAATGAGCCAAAACAGAGATTTGCGCTCTGTATACACCAAGCTGGCCAACATGGAGCTTTGTCCATTTGTCATTTATGACAATAATGAAAGAGACATTATAATAAAATCTTTAAAAACGACATCGTTGGAAATATACAAAGAAAATTTCAACAGTGGGGAAACCAGCCCTCAAGTTTTAGTGCAGCTATATGTAAATTTTAAATCATTATCATCATTCATTTTTCTAGAAGTCTGTTGTTTTTACAGTGAGTGAACATAGAAAAATTAACACAGCACGACCAAATATACGGGCTGGCTCCGCCACTGAATTTCAAACATCTTCAAAGGATTCTCCAACATCATCGCTTCCATTTTTGTTCTTTTTCGACCTCTTCAGGAGAAACTCTCCGACAGGTATTGCTCTAACAGCACACGTTTTGCCAGCATCAAATATCTGTGAAAATAATGAAATACAATTGCTTCAAAAATTCGTTTATACATTTTGCACCGTATGTATGGCAACATCACGACTTAGCTAGAAGAAAAGAGCTCCTTTAACTTTTATGAAAAAGCTAAAATCATGCATCCTCTATATTAAAACGCCAGAAAGATCATGCATGTTTAAACATTTGTAACTATTGTAATACATAAGCTCGTTTCCAGGGTCTTATGCGTACCTCATATATGGTGAAGGATAACAACAGTGTAAAAACTGATTGGTTTTAACCAATGAATAACCATATGAATAGTTAAAGAAACTATAAAAATATTGGTTAAAGTGGTTAAATGCATCTGAGGTAAACAATTTTCATGGTTAATTTAACCAATCAGTTTTTACAGTAAAGGCATACATAAAAACGTAGTGTAAAACAGTAACAAAGCAAAGTAACCAAGCAAATTCATGACTTTGATGCTTTTGGTCTATCATTTTACACATCAAAGAAACGTATTAAGGCCAAAACATGCCTCCCAATCTCCAATTATTCCTTTAATTTTATCAACATTCAAGCGTCCATGGACTCCATCAAAGAGCTAAAGATACGTTGGATCATTTATTGTGGTCTCGGAGGGTGGAACCAAGGACATGTCGAGGTTAGCAGGAAAAGTTAAAAATATTCTGCTATATTCCTGCCACCGGGAGGCTATAACAGTTTGCAAGGTGACGACCTTCTTTAGTGTAACGAAACCTTTAAACTTGGTCTGTGGCTCAAAGCGAACCAAAACAGGTAACTTGAATCTTTCCTGTACTTCAGCAAGAAACATTAAATCCATGGTGACATCTGATACTTTCAAATGAATCAGTTGATGCATATCAAACCTCACATAATATTTTTCCTTGTTCAAACAAACCAAATGCTTTCTTGAAATATCAAATTCCACAACGTCTAAACTATCTCCGGCGTGATAAATTTCGTTGCTGTCCAGACAGTTTTTAAGGTTGGATTAACGGAAACTTTGTCATATTTGTCAGGGAACATATTTTTTAAAACCTAGGCTAATTTCGCGTCTTCTAAAAATTTTTAATATTTTATAATACTTCTTTGTTTTTGACACTCGATAACTTGTTGCGAAAAGTTTAATGGAATTTGAACATCTTTTCCATCTTCTGTTTGCGCTAAAAAACATTGAGTTTCTTTAAGAACATGCAGTTGGAGAACATCTAATTTGGATAACGACGCGCTTAATCTGCGTTTGAGAAAAAAATAGTTTAAAAGAAATCAACTTTTGCATATGTGGTGTACCTGAATACTCAAGAAATAGTTTTGTCAGTTCAAGAGCAAGTGGTTAGATACTTTGGATGTGTTATGTATTTATTATATTTAAACTAGTATACCTAACTGGTTGCAATTGCTGCCTATGTATGTATGAAATACAGTTATCCTTTCGTTAGAAATTTTAGAAAAATCGCTCAAATAGTACCATTAATTTACTTAAGGCTAAAAGCTAGTGAGAATAGATGCACAACTGGTCAAGTGCATAAGCCGAACACTTTATGCACTATGGAGCGAATAGAATAGAGTGCTGAATAAACCATTATTTTGACGTGCCATTTTAAGCCAAGAGCTTGCTGCTAAAATTTTAAACACAATTCTTCAGACCGCTTCGTTTGCCATGTAAATGTCATGATTAGACTCTTTGTATTTCACTTTTAAAAAATTGCTTGCCTTACGACATCATGTGGAGTTTTATATTTTATGAAAATTTCGTTTATTCCAATATTAAATTGTAGTTTCGTCACCAAAATAATGTTCAGGTCATGACGTCGAACATCAACATACTACGAATAACAAAAATTTATGACTCCCTCTTTTTGTGAGGCCTATCTTTTTGTTTGATGAAAATCGCTATAAATCCTGAAAAATAAAAACTACATGGTTGCCACTGAATTCTAAGACATTATTTTACAATTCCTTTCCTTTTCACTATCCATCAAGGCTGCATGTGAGCTCATTAAAAGCAGTTTAGCATTTTGTCAGATTTCGCGGTAATGAAATAACTTTCATAAAAATATAAACATCAAATAAGGTGTAATGACTTCATACCTTGCTTTGCCTGAGCTACGCTGAAGTACAAAATAGGGAAATAAAAAACTAATCATGGTGATGTATAAAGTACACCGTGCCTGCGTTTTCAATTCATAAAGGACAAACCTTTTTATCTCTGTGTCTTCAGCTTGGAATATGCTTGAATCTCTGATAGCATGGAGAGTAAGGACTTGTCCATGACGAATGGTAGGACTGTGCTCACCACCATCATAACCACTGATAACTTTCACAACTTGTGGAAGTGAAAAAACGTCAACAAAATCTTTTAAGGAGTATGAATCTTCTGTCCATTGTAACGTATTTAGCATTTCATTATCAACTTTTGATGTCGTTTCCATTTTAGCGTATTTTATCTGCCCCTGTTTAAAGAATTCCTCGACTGTTGCTTTGAGGAAAATTCATCAATGTCAGTTTTTTTCACTGGTCTGGACTCAATTTTACTCCTCGCTTTCGTAAAAGTGATGACACTGAAAAATGCCAGTTAGATTACGTTCAATGCAAGGCAATAATAGGGGACATGGAATGCTTCAAAGCGCTGAAATAGGATTTGCTAAATTGGTTTACTAAACTCAGTTTGTCAAACTCTTTGTTTTATAAAATTACAATTACCATGGCAATAGTCAATAGGTCAGTTCTTGCGCAATATGAGGTTTGCGTATGTTGAGAAATGAATTTTTAAGTTTGTGGTGGAAAAGCAAAAGTTGAATTATTAAAGTTAACAATTATACATTTATTAAAGGAAATGAACACAGGGAAAACTAAACAATTTCAGAAGTTAGTTAGTGAAGCAATTAGCTATATTAATATTGGCATATCCGTATCTTTATAGAAGTAGAACAGAACAACTTTGCTCGTTTGTGTAAAGACGTATAACTATAAAGTATTTGGGAATAGAATCATTAAATGTTAAATACCAATAACTAAGTAAACTAACAAAATATATTTACCCGAGATTTCACAAGTGGACGAGTCAAAGTATACGTTAAAGGCTTGCCAAAGGTTTTGCACTTCCAACGTTGCGAAATAACTAACTTTAAAAGGTAAAAGATTCATCTAGAGCCATGTCTTACAATATAATCATTGATCCAAATCAAAACATATAAAAAATTTCATGGGTTGAGGAATGTAGATGTTATAATGACTTATTACGCTTCTCTATTCTTTGACTTGACTGAGATTTTAAACACATAAAATATATTTTGTGTTTTATAAAATTTCATCGGTTTTTGGCCAAATCAATCAAAAGGACGAAAGGTTTTTGTCATAAAGAAGATAGACATTCTTAACCAATTCAGGTTCATCGTCTTGCGTGGATAAATCTTATCACCGGAAGTCTAGAAGTTTTATTTATGAATAATGATTAATTTGTAGATTGCTTAATACCCACTAAAAGTTCTAAAACTTTTGGAAAGAAAGACAATATTGCATTGGTATTAACAAAGACCCAGAATTACAAAACACCTACATACTGCGTTATTTTAAACGCTGAACATTTCCACAGTACAATAAAAACTTTCAGGTATAGCTTATTTGCTGATTTCTTTACGTTCACAACGATTTTTTTTTACTCGTGACGAAAAATGCTAAACATCGTTAACATCTTATTTTTACATTACAAAAATATAAGAGTCTTTGTCGATGCGTCTTATGAATGACAAGTGCGCAAGGCATGTTTACCAGTTTGAGGTGGCTTTTAGGTGTATTATTTGTTTGACAGTTTATAATTTAAAACAAGTGACGTTTTGAAAATTTGAGCTTAATTCACACGACATGAACTAACCTGGTTGGTAACGGCCTTAGTTTATATCAACTCACGTTAATTTGTTTTGCGTGTAATACTAACACAGGTTTAACCTCAGCTTTATTAAACATACCTCCAAGATGTGTTGAGTTAAACAGGATGCTTCTGACCAGGTTAGTAGTGTTCACACGCAAAAAACTAACAAGGGTAATTTGAGCATGGTTTGAACTACTCAGTTTTGTTTGTGCCGTGTGATTTGGAATGTGGTTGACAAGATTTCCTGCTGTCATAAGTAATTGATATTAAAAAACAATGACAAAACGTATTAAAAAAATGACATAATGTATGATTGTTTTACAACTTTTAAATTGAATTTAATTGGTAATGACAGAAGATTTGTGCCTTCTACAGAGGCGAAGAGGTAGAACGCTAAATGGAAGGATGAAGTAGCTACCACATGAGCGCTCAAAACAGTGCTATACGGTCCAGCTCAGTAGCTATAATTTCAATTTGACTTTCCAGCAGGTATACTCTATGATTTATAATATTTTAAAGCAGATTTCTGCTCATTTTAAACGTGGTTGTAAAAAAATTTCGCTTACCTGACAAAAAAAGGGTGAAAGGATTCATAAAGGCAAAGCTAAACAACCGCGAAAGATGTAAAAAATTCAAAATAAGTGACAACGTACCAGATAACTGATTCTTTTTTATAATTTTGTTTTTGATAGCTAATTTTCATGTTTTTTTCTAGTTATACACACATAAACGTTATTTGTATTATTGGTAATTTTTGCAATTTTGTTAACATATGCAAGTTTTAAAATTTTTTAAGTTCTATTAAATTATTTGTGTGTTTCTGTATTATATTTAACGGGGAGCTACAGTAATGTGTCTGTTTTTTATGACTTGTCAATCCTATGATCCTGTAACAATTTATAGTCTTTTAGAGGCGTATAGAAACTTGTGGGGCAAATTTATGTCATATAAAATCATGTAGAATTCTCTATGTATGTTTTAAGAACTCCCCGGGGCAACTAGATTATGGAGCAATTCACGTGGGATTTTATAAAAAATCCGATTAGATTCCGTAGTAATCTGTAAGCAATACTTTAGCCTCTTTACAAATTCTTTAAGAGTTTTGTGGGAATTTTCGTAGGAGATCTGGTAGGAATTGTTATAGGAATTCTTGCAGGATGTCTTATTGGAGTTGTTGTAAGAATTTGTATAGGAATACTTGTATGAATTCCAATAGGATTCATTTGTAAGAATTCTTATAAGAATTCTCGTAGGAATTCTTATATAAATTCCTATAGGTTCCTGCTGCATCCTATACGTTGTTCCTATAGGCTCATGAGCCAATTTTCAATAGGATCCTATAGGAAGTTTTAATAGGAATTTGGAGATCTGGTAGGAATTCGTATAGCAACTATTTGTATAGAAAAACTCGTAGGATTTCCAATAGGATTCCTTTGTAAGAATTCTTATATGAATTCTTATAGCAATTCATATATGAATTCCTATAGGTTCTTACAGCATCCTATAGATTATTCCTATAGGCTCATGGGCCAATTTCCAATAGGATCCTGTAGAAAGTTTTAATAGGGATTCCTATTGATAATTTTCGTAAGGGATATATGACAGTTTTGAATAAATAATTTGATAAGTAAATGATAAAATAAATATAATCTGCGTTTAATTTAGCTCCAATTGCTGAATATATTCGTTTACGTCTCTGTTATAGACTTACATAAAACTCAATGTAGAGCAACATATAAGGAGGAAAAGGTTTATACTTCTTATAACAAAGTAAATTAATTTATATCTTGCTTATATAACATAATTCATACCACAGATTAAAAATTATACAGAAGGGCCACTCAAATGTGCACTGCGTCCTCACGATCGTCATCATTCCAGCAAGATACTTAAGATTTTTTACTTGTTTCCAAACACTGCAATTACATGATGTCATTTCTTCACAATGAAATTGGAAATATTTCAATATAAGAAATGATGTCGTGTCATTTCAGTAGTTGGGAACAAGTGAAAAGGTCCAAAATATTTTGCTAGAATATCTGCCGATATGCGCAGTACAACATGCGCAAGGAAAAAAACATCAGAGGCTCCGACTTGAGTTGCCCTTCTGTATAAATATCTAATCTGTGTTCATACTTTATTCCTATTGTGTTCACATAAACATAATATGTCAATATAAATACATAAATAATATCCTATATGCATATTTAAACAATATTGGATATAATCAATATAAATATATGCATATAAAAATATCTATCATGTTTTACAATTGACATATAGCTACTTCACACTTTACGCACGAGACACTTAATAGCTTTCCTAAATTTTTATGTGGCTAACCATGAAGCTCGTCGACTTCAACATCACCCCCGTAAAATAGTGCGGTGGACGACCCATAAGGGGGGTGAACACGTTCCCCTTGGTGCTGCAACTGACAAGAACGATCAGTGCACCTACATTGACATAGATAATTAAGCGGAGGATAACTAGCACTAAAGGGAACCAATTTGAAACAATTCCCTTCGGCAGGAACGCTCACGTACTTTGCACGCATCAAGTTCTGCTGTAAGATGTCGGAGGATTTCCTCAGAGTCCTCAAGCTTTTGTTTGTACATTTCTTTTTCATCGTTTAGTTTTTCTCTGTCTTTACGCTCACGGTCAAAGTCTTCTTTATAAACGAGTATCTGCGACTTCAACATTTCACATTTTTCTACTTCGTTTTCATCGCGATTATGTTGAACACTTTGTTGCGCGTACAAAGCCGAGGCTAATCGTCCTAATTCGTCTTCTAAAGGACTTTGTCGCTCTTCAAGTTCATTTACTCGTTCTTTTACTCTTTTTACTTCCTCTACGAGTAAATCTCTCTCTTTTTTAAGCATTCTGAAGCGCATTTCCAATTGTTCGTAGTCATTTTTCCAGCCATGATTAATTTCAAGTAATACGTTGTATTTTTGTTTACGTTTGTCCTCCCCTTCAGCCAGTCGCAAACTCTCGTCGGCGAGCCGCGAAGTTTGATTACGCGATTCATTGTTCAGTTTATCATTTTCTTGTCGTAAATTTTTCATCATTTTTGCCAAATGTTCGTTATCTTTTAAACACTGCTTGTATTTCAGTTCAAGTTCTTCGTAACTGCACTTTTCATTTTTGATTTCATTATCCATTATCGGCACAAACTAATTTCAAGTCTTATTTTCTCTTCTCGACGACTATATCTGATCACTCTACGATCGTGTTTGATCTGATGCCTCGCACTCTCGTCGTTGTTCTTTATGCTGTGCAAATGACGTAATTTTAGTATATTGTCATGGGGATTCCCCCACGCGTATTTAAACTATTTATCGAAAAAAACATTGTAGATGATTTCGAAAGGGAAGAGGTATCTTGACGATAAAGTATCATTAAATAAATTTTTTTGACTCTCCTGTCAACCAAGCTTCACCATTAATTACCCCCAAAAATCATCACGCAATCAAAAGTAACCAGCAAACATGCTAAATATATTATGCCAGCTTACATGTATTCCAATTATATGACGCACATTTTTTCACGCCTGTATTACACCAATCTGTTGAAGCGCGTTTCAGACAATCGTTTACTATTTCATGGCATCTGTCGCAAGAAGCGCAAGTCAACGGACATGAATTCTAAATCGAGATTGTAATTGCTAATTGAATGTCTATCAAACATAGGTACAAATAAAAATATGAAATAATACTGTTGCATTTTGTCAGAATATTTACTTTCTTATGTAAATTATCACATAAAACGTAAATGGAGCCCATTAAAGGTTATTATTATATCATGCAAACTTCTCCAAAATAACATCAAAAGAAAAGATTACACGAAACGTCTCAAAAACAATATGAAAACGTCACAAATTTAGTTGGAAGGAAACAGGTCTTACGCAACGACAAGATTGAACATCCAAGTGATACGGAAATGTTTCGCTTCCTCAACAGCTCAGCTAAGCGTTAAAGTTCAATTATTGTACACTATTTCGAGTGATGCACAAGCATTTTAGCCATAATGAAAATTACGCTACAAATAACTCGCACGAGACTGCGATACAAATTGCTTCAAGCCTACCAAACATTGTTGCAGAAAGTTGCAGTGATAGCTTACACCGTCTGAACCTGGAAATCTAGAACAAGATATCCCTGCTGAGATGCAAATTTGTCGCCACTAAACGTCGCACTTGAAGCTGGGTTCTCAAATAGACACTTGAGTCTTAGCAGTCTTCTCTAGAAAACAAGCCGATAGGACAAGAGCTCTATCCAGAAGACTGAAAAGAATCAGTCAATACGATTGAAACGACTCGGACAACAATAAACTATAGATCAGTTTACTTGTTTATAGGCGACTTGCCGCCCATGGTGTTGTTTTGGTCAATACCTTAATGTGTACCAGCAATAGGAATGAAAGTGTAAACGACGCACATCTTCACCTACTGAAGTCGAGCCACGGTTCATTTTACGGTACCGTCAGTGGCGACGCCAGACTCCGACAAATGGTCATGCAATCGAGCGGTGGATTACTGACCCCCATCAAATAATAAAATAAAAATTTTACATGTAAAATGTGGATCGTCCAGGTTGGTATAGTCCTGAGAAGGACTGTTTTTGTTGTTGTTGACTGACGTTTCGACAACCTTAGCGGTGGCCATCTTCGGAGTCAAATAAAAACTTTCCTGTGTGGGCTACTAGTTGAGAATGTACTTAAATACCCAACATTAGCAAAAAATACCATGACAGGAGAAATAGATGACACAGCTTGCCTTAAAACAAGATTCAAACTATGAGCTGCACAATGAACAAAGTAAGCAAAAGCATACTGTTGACACATTAATGCTTGGGCACCACCAATATGACCAAATTTGTAAAAATGCAATGCCATGAATAAATGTTGAATCTGAATAACACAAAAAAGTATAATCACTTCAGATTCCATATCTCTGTATAGAGCAAAAACGCTGTTTCATAACCCCCTTTACTAATAAAGCTGTAATTCCTGAGCAGGGACGTGACTAGAGCGCTGATTTCTTTAGGAAAGAAATTCACTTTCAAGAGAAACCAGTCAGGACAATTAAATATATGAATAACCATGCAATCCCTCAATCAACGTTCTAGTTACACCACTGTTCCTGAGGGAAGATACAACAGCATTACCAACTTGAGCTGGAGTCAATATTAGCATTTATTCGAAAAATAGAACGGATGGTTTGTGGGCCTGTCTGAGCTTGAACGTGGCCGGAATGAATCACAAGAGTGAATCACAACTCCATACTAACTCCCATGAGCTTTGAGAAAACGCATATAGGTAAATGTCAGAGCACGCAAAAAAATGTCGAGTACTGATGTCTTACTTATTGCCAACGTGGCGTAAACAAGGCAATGACATTTTAATGATTAAAGAAAATAGCTTAGAATTGAACTAAATTTGTCAATTACATCGAATCGTAACTTTTAGGACGTGCCGTAAAATTGTTTCACAGGTTTAATGACGTGCTGTACATTTTTCGTTATTTTGCTGTTGAGCATGGGCGTACCGGCTAACCTTTTTTAGGGAGTCTGTGATGTCGGTACATTTTCAATCATGAATAACTTAGTTTCCCGACTTTCCAGTCACCTCAGTAACATTGCATGCCCCTCTTCCTACCACGCTAGAAACGCCTTTGCTGCTCTGTCTAACGAATCGAACATGATAAGAGTGAAGAAACTACTTATCATTTACAGCTTCGACACTAAATATTGTGCTACAAGCATATTTCATAAAAGAAAACTACCTAATTTAGACCTTCAACATGGATAAATATACGCATAAATGAATGGTACATGTTCAGGGGATCTTTTCTAAATTTCACCACAGTTTTTCTATCATATGTTAACATCATTCGATGAAGTAAATAACTCAGAAATCATACGCTGATGGAATTTATGTCAACCAAAAGTAAATAGTGGTGCATGGCGTCTTTGTTATACTAACTGTTTTTGTCACATGCAATACGGTAAAATCCCCCGCAAAAGAACCTATATTTTAAAAACCAGTAAGGGGCTAAAATTTCTGAATTATACCCTGTTTGTGCAAGAACCTGTGTAGGATAAGATTTCAAATGGTTTTGTCAGTTCAAAGAGGCTGAAACTCAGAGAAAATATACTTTTTACAAAGCAATGAGACTAGCCTTTAAAAATGTAAGTTCTTATACGCGGGGTTCTACTGTAAAAGATTGAATGATAAAACATTTATACAAATAATACAATAAAGAAACGGTTGAACTGCATAAGGAGAAGACAAATGTTACTTTGCAACCGTAAATGATCAGGAAGGGCTTCTTCAGCTATCCCGGCAAGGCTCAAAATCATCGAAAATAATCCAGCATCCAAAGCCCTGTTCACAGGGGATTATAGTCGTCTCATGCAGGCAATATCTTATCAGCATGGGTCCAAAACAAAGATCACTTTGATCGTACAGAAAATTTTCCGTAAAGTCCATAATACATAATACAGATGATCACTTGGAAATTAACTAGGCTTAAGTAGGCATAACATGTATCTCCCAAATACAAATATGTAACATCGGATAAACTATTCTTCCGCTCTACTTAATAAGGTAGACAATAACTTAAAGTTATTAACTTTCCATGTTATCGTTTCATCCTTCGGTTTCGAATCGCTACTTAAAGAACTATATCGTAATTTGGTAGTAAATCGTTTGTTGTAGCAATATTGAACTTGCGCATGTATTAGAAACAATAAAGACTTTATCTCTGACAATTTATACACTTATATCTGTAATTGCTTGACGGCAAATAATTGCTAAAACTATAGATCAAAGACAAAATGTATCGCATTTTGTCTTTATCGTTCGAGACACGACATTAAACACATTTGTTAAACACAAATGCATGGTTCAAAAAGCTGACCTGACATAAATCACGATAAAGTCGTAGAGCTTGAGATAACTATGTGGCATTTTTTAATAAAATCTCAATCAATAGGACGATTTATGATTACTCACGGATCATCGTGGAAACGGCAGAATATTTTAAAACTGATACGAATAATTACAACTGTTAAATAAAAAATGTTTCTTTGCTCTTACACACGACTATAAGTGTCTATAATACATTCTTTCGGAAATAGGTTCTTATTGATCCATCATGTCGTTATTGAAGTTTGTAATGACCTGTATGAAAACAAATCTCGACAAATGTTACTAAGCCCCTATGGTCACTAAAGACAAATAGTATTAGAGACATATAATTGTAGTTAGGTGGTTAGGGATAGCTATACGATAGTGATACGACTCTAGCTTGTTTAACTACCAATACTCATTGTTGTTTGTTTCAAATGTCCAACTTCTTATGCTAAGTTTCAGTCTTTCACCAACAAAAATCCGCTTCCATGTTCAGAGGTGTGCTCGGAAGTTGGAACAAGTCATATCGCTTAACATCAAATGTACTGTGCGAGCAAGGTAGCATATGATCATCGTAACTATTCAAGACATAAGACGAAACAAAAGCTATATCAAAAAAATATCCATGCAAAATATGTTTCTTCTATTTGTAAACAAAAAACTTCGTATCATGTCAGTTGCGTATTTTGTCCTCAAATAGATCACCGATCATGAAGCAATATGTTCCTATTAGAACGCTTTAACTGCGTAGGCAACGCACCTAATTTGCGTCATTGCATATTTTATTACAATTAAAAAATTCCGAACATTTGAAAGCTAAATTACACTGCTTCTATAGTATTACATAAGAATAATAAGCACATATGGTAAAATTATTCTTTTAGCAACATAGGCCGAAACTTGAGGTATAGTTGAAGTGTACAGCGACAACATAAAACCATGCATGTAATTGCATCAAGTACTTAAATAAACCATTGGTAAAACAAAAAAATCAATTCATTCAGTCTTGACATTCTGGGACTCTTATGAATGCGGAAAAATACGTATCTCAAAACAAAGGGTCTAAAGCATTAAATAGTTTTGATACTGAGAATTCTACGTTATTCGGAACAAGAAAATTTATATCATACCTATGGATTTTCACAATACCAACATACCATATGTGCTGACATCTATGCTAACTTACCTGATATGGTAAATGGTTATTTCGATTCGCTTACAGCCGTCATTGACCAAGTTGCACCTATTAAGACCCGGCTTATAACAATTCGTCCAAAAGCACCTTGGTACACCATTGACATTCATAATGAAAAGAAGTGTCGCCGCAGGTATGAACGTAAGTGGAGACGAACCAAAGAT